ACTCATGGGTATGCAAAATCTTTGTCCAAACCTCACTCACTGAGTTTTGTAGAGTTTTGTAGCGATGCAATAATCACTGTCAGGGGAGTACTGAATAAGTCAGTGTCGTCGAAATTGAATGCTACAAACACTGCATATGGCACTAATATTCAAGAACTTGCGCTATCAGCGCTTACGAATGCGTTCGCGGAACTTACGGCACCGTTCAGCATGGAAGGCGTGAATTTACCCCTCATGCTGGAAGGCCTTGGACGTGACTTGGGAATCGGAACTCGACGTATCTGGCACAGTTGGTTGGTTCACAAGTCTGTCCCCGGCAGTTTTTTCGGCGACCGCCAATGTGGCCAACCTGCTGCGTCAAGTAAAACAAAGGTTGCGAAGTGTTCCGCATGGTGGTTCACCACATGGTGCCATCAAGTACTTGGTTCCACGAACAGATACCGCGAACCTCGTCCAATGCCATCGAAACCACAACATTGCTTTCAACTACGTTGGGCGGTTTCAAGAAATGAATGCCGTGGGAAGCTTGTTCGAATGAATCCAAGGTGTCAAAGATTTTGCTGGTGAAGACGAAGACGATTTCATTCCTGGAAACATTTACCTGCATCATTGCAGTTCAGAGTTGATCTTGGACGTTTCAGTCGACGAGTGGCAATTTTCGCGTCAACAACCACAACATTGGACTGATCTGTGGTGCAGTTGGATGCATCGGATTGTCGAACATTGCGTGGACCCTGCAACAATCGGGGGACGGACGCTCTCCGATGTGCCTAAAGTCATTGGACGTCATTCAATCGGTGGAAAATGAGTTGCTGCTCACGCTTGGACTGCGACCTGTATACATCGAAGACGTTTATCCGGTAACACCTTTGCAAGCTGGGATGATGTTTGCAACCATGAAACTCCATCGGAGTACTCTTTGCACACGATTTGCGATGTTCGTGGGGACGCATCAAGTGCTTTTGTCAATTTCAAAGCTCATTGGAAACAATTGGCTGCAATTGAGCCACTGCTTCGGAGCACGTTCGTGAGCACACCCAGCGGACTTGACCAAGCTGTGGCGAAATCCGATTGGAGCGAATGGAATATCTTGGACGAAACATGGAAGAATGACGATTTGGACTACAATACCAAAATTCACTTGCAAGAGACTCGAGCACGTGGATTTTCGCTTTGCGACCGATCATTCCATCGATTAACTGGTGTTCGAGTAGCCGTACGGTCATTTACATGTATTCATACGACAACAAATTAATATGAATGTTTGACTAGTCGGGACAACTCGAGTGATGGGGTCGACGCATCACTCGGTCGTGGATGGCTGGTCAGGAGCAATTCTCGCGTCAACTTTACAAAATCTTTGGCAGGGAAGTCGTGTGGAAAAGACATTAGATTCATTCAAAGAGTACATTCAATGGATTCATCTGCAAGATATGGCTAAACATCACAGTTTTTGGCGCGATTTTTTGTCCGATGTCGACCAAGCAAGTGTCGTGACCCTTCCAAAACCTCCAAAATGCACTGCGACCAAGGAGAAATATCGCGTAGTTCGTCGCTTTTTGCAGTTCCCTCAAATCAAAACTGTGTTCGGAACATTGCAAGTGACACCATGCGCACTATTTCAAACAGCTTGGGCAATATTGTTGCAGCAATATACGCGACATGACGTCAACCTTTTCGGCTGTGTCGTCTCTGGTCGAGATATCACCTTTCCTGGCATTGAATCGTAGGCATACCTTTCTCAATGACATCACCTGAAATGATTGACGTAGGCTTGTTGGTGTGTCATCAACACGGTTCCATTTCTGACGAAAACTACCTCCACCGATACCATTGCTGACGTAATTTCCATGGTACAGAGAACGTCTTTGGAGCTTGGAAAACACTCCAATTCCAGTCTTGTTCAAGTGAAAGAGTGGGTGCTCTGTGACACAGCCTTGTTCGACTCCATGTTCATGTACGGAAATTATGCCGCGTCCTCAACCGATCACGAAGGCTCCTTGAAGTTTACCGAAGGCGAAGAGTACATGCACACAAACATTGGGATATCCGTGTACCCCGGAGACGAACCATTTCGTTTCGATTTGTCCCACAGCACCTACGAAATCGACTCCCAATGCTTCAATTTCCTGTGCCATCGCAACTTATCCATCGTAACTGCCTTGGCAAAACCAGAAAATGCTGCCTCAAGAGTGAGTACTTTGGATTCACAACCAAGCAATGAAGGGGATATCTTTACGAAGAAGTCACGTGGACCTCAAGTCGAATCCTCCGGTTATTTGATATTTGAAGCTCGCGCCACCCGGACGTTCGGGCGGTCGAGTTTGAAGTGGTTGTCGTATGGTGAGCTGAATGCGCAGGCCGACACGTTGGCTTGCGAGCTGGCTGCGTTGGGGGTGTGCGTGGGGAGTCGCGTGGCTGTGGTGATGGAGCGTTGTTTGGAGATTCTGGTTGGACTGCTGGCCGTGCTAAAAGTGGGCGCCACCATGATGCCAGTGGATGCGACATTTCCTCAAAAGCGAATTGTCCACATGTTGAAGGACGCTGGAGCAACTCTCGTCGTATCGGCAGGAGGTTTTATTGATATGGCTAGATCCGGCAACTCAATCGATCGGCGTGACGTGGACGTGCGAGACATTGGCCGTCAGACGTCGTTCTTCGCCCTGGGCGGGGACTCGATTTCCGTCATCCGTGTCGTGGCTACGCGCAAGAATGCTGGCATGTGTATATCGGTTGGTGAATTTGTGACGGCCTCACGTTTTGATGTTGCAGCTGCAGTTGCAACTGAATCATCTCGAGTGAAGGATTTTGCCAAGAAATGTCTTGTAAATTCGATTCTGCTCTCAAGTGATCTTGTGGTGGGAATGAAGCTAACGTTTTTCCTTGCAACATCAACCCAGCAGTTCATGCTTGCTCAAACCGAGAAGAACCAGAGCACGTTTGTGCTGCAGGCGAAATTGCACTTGCCGGACAGTGTCGATGCTCCTCGTTTGGCCGATTCAACGAGTCGTCCAGATGAATGACATCATTCGGACGTCTTTTGTCCGAGTTCAATCAAAATTCTATCATGTCATCCGAGCGGACACTCCTGCGCTCGAAGCATATTCCACGGAAGAACGTCGTTGGACGAGTTCTTGGCGATGGACTATACTCGTCGTTGGAGCGCAATCTTTCGTTCGGTTTTGTGACTGTCGGGTCCAAACGGTATGCTGCGTTGACCATCCACCATTGCTTGTACGACGGATGGAGTATTGGCATGACTCCTTCGGATCAATTGTCGGCATATCAGGACGACGCACGGGCTTGCCATCGTCCGCAATATCGATCAGCATGGAACTACACATGACGGGGCCAAGTCTGCCGACCAAGTATTTTGGACTTCGTACATGGTTGGAGCTCCTGCGTCGTTGCACACGTCCAGCGCGGACGCTCTCAATCAACAGCTACAACCTCTCCGCGTGGTGGTGGATGTCAAGACCTTGACTCGAATTTCCAACCGAATGGGGGTCGCTCTATCCACACGACGCAGGACTCGCCATGACGGTCGCCAATCGAAGCATTCCCATCGACGACGCGGACAGGTACTGACGGTCCGCCTGCCCAACGATTGCAGTTTTCCGCACTTACACAATAACTTTGTCGATGGATGGGCCCTTTGATCAACGATGGTCCTTGCCGAGTGACGTTCAACGGGACCGACTCGTCCCTCCATCACAAAATGCACTTGGACGATGGTGCTATGTTGGGTCATTCGTTTGCAGATGTGGATGACATTGCCGCATGGACCCGGGGTTGCCGCCCCAATGTGCAGCACGCTATTCATGTAACAAGATTTCCCCGCCGCAACTGCGACGAACTCGGACGAGTTGGAAGTCGTCCCGGTCGTGCGTCCTCCAGACAACGAGGCCCGCGACCACAAGTACGTGTTTGTTATGGTCGTCGAACCCACGTCGAATGGGCAACTCGACCTCGTTGGTGGCGTCGACCGTGTCACATTGACTACCGCTCAGGTGCTCGTCGTACTCCAAGACGACCGCTCGACATTGATCCACATCGAAGCACTCGATGCCGCATAGAGCACGCCATTGTGTGCAGCGCTCCCACCATCCTAGGACGATCGAGGATGGAAAATACAAGCTAGAGGTCGTATGGCAAGCACAAGAGTCGTGTTGGTTAGCTCGGCCTAATCTTGCTTCAACAAAAACACTTCCTTGGTCGTGCCTTGCGATGTGATCACAAAGATTTCGACCTTGTCGCCCGTGTAAATGTCGCGCTCCCCCGCTGTGATAAACGCGTCCTTGATGATCGATTTGGTTTGGTCGATGGTCAGGTCTACCAGTGGGTCGCTTCGGCTCTCGTGGGTCACCAAGTTGTCCAAGAGCGGCATCATGAGGTGCCCGCCGCTGCCTTGTGCACCGCGCGACGTGTTCTTGTGCGAACCCACCGCGTCGTATTCATACACGGCGCCCTTCCCGTCCTTTGTGATGCCGCACAAAAGGCAAAACGAGTAGTACGGGAAAAAGCGGCGTTGGTACAACGTGTTCATGAGCAACTGGGCCATGGCTTCAATCGTCGGCGGTTGTTCGTTGTCGTGTTGGTACATTTGCGAACGAATGCCAAGCACGCCGCGCAGTTGAACAACGTCGTTGAAACTTCCCGGGCTCGCGAGCAGCACGTTCGGGGCCACTTCGTGGATCTTGGACTCGTCGCGGGACAAGATCGAGTAGCCCGTGCTCAGGCGAGTGTCCCCGGCCACGACGACAAAGTCCTTGCCCGCCACTGCAAGCACAGTTCCTCCATTGAAATCATACGGCTCAAAGCGATGTTCCTTGGTCTTGTGCTCCATCGGGAGCGCGACGGGGCCGTCGGTCGTGTTCACGTGCGGGAAGGTCATCGCAATTGCGTCGTTCGCTGCTGACCCCAAATGGATTTTTCTTGCACAGGATTTTAAATGTGCGTGATTTTCCATGCAAGATTTTAAATACGTGGGATTTTTATATCCATGATATCTCGAATTCTCCCTCCGTGCGTCTGGAATAAGTCAATACTGTCAGCTCCATTCTCTCCGCAAGGAAATAAACGATGGACGCGTGTCGTTGCAAGAGGGTCTTCTCCTGTCTTGTACCTGGTCTTGCGACGACTAGAATGGAACGAACGCTCGAGAACAGACATTTTAAATGCAATTGAAACAAAAGATCACATCAAGATCACGTATGAAGTAATAGAGGCACTTCGGAAACGCATAGGTCGACGGATAATTTTCAACCGGATACGCTGCACGATACGCCATCCAGTAAGTGCAAGATGAAGGTGCTCGAGGCGTCCGAGGGGCCGCTGACCAACTACGAGGTGATGACCCTGCTCGAGGAGAGGAAGAACGGTCGCATGGAACGCAAGACGCACTCTACTCTGTACGCGGAGCGCAACTGGATTGATTCCAAAGTTCTCAAATGCCTGTCCCATTCGCCAGCCAAGACGTTAACGGAAGACAAGATCGCGCACTTCTTATCCATGGTCGCGGGATTCGAGCTTACGAATGCAGAGAAGCTTCAATTTATCAACCATTGCCCGATGGAGTTGGTGGACGTGCACTTGATCATTGAAGATTGTGCCGAACGACTCACGGAAGTTCAAGTCGAAGAGCTCATGGCCATTACAGCGGAGACTCTCGGTGCTACTGACGACGACGAGGACGTCCAAGACGTCTAAGGTGAAAACACCCGTGCTGTTTCCGAATGTCCACATAACTTAAGCTTTTCAAGCACACGTCGATCGTGGTGGTTTTTCTGGGCCAAGTGTTCCCAGTCCGTCGATTCGTTTCAACATTCGCCTTTGAATCAGCCTTCGTATGGCCCCACCACACACATGACTCATAAAGGGCGTCGTGTTAAGATTAGCGCTGTTTCACGGCAGCTATCACGCTGCGCATCGACGGAAACATCCCGACGTACTCTTGGGTCGGCATGAAACGAAGACTGATCTGCCGCATGTTAAACCAGCGTCCGTGGAGACGGTGGGCGGCTTCGCGAGCAGCCGAGAGCGCGTCAAAGCAAATATACACGAGACCGCCTTCCTTGTCCTTTTCCACAAAGCTGTGCACGACCTTGCCATATCTAGAAAACATCACGTCATCGTCACGATGGAACACTGGAACTCTCTTCCACCTAGAGCACTCATCGACGACGTCCTGCTGGATCTCGACGTGCCAGTCGGGGTTGCCGCTTCGCCGCTCTTTGTACAAGTCGAACATGTTCTTCACAACAAAGCAGACGCTATCGACGCCCTCAATGTCGCCACCCGCCAACGCCGCCGCGCGTTGCGTCTGGGCCAAACTCACAGAGGGCGCCACTGGGTTGGACGCCAACGGGTTGTTGGGCTGCAACGTTGGGAGTGCCAAACTCGAAGCGCCGGCGCCACCAGCCAACTTGGCCATAAGCGCCGATCGGCTCTGCGAGTTGAGCGCGTACCCACCGGAACCTTCTTCGTCTTCGAGCTTCCAGTTACCACCGCCAGCACCGTAGCCCTTGTTGTTGAATGCCGACGGGCCGGAATCTCGTCTACAGACACACCACGGCAGATTTGATAATTGTGCTGACAAACGATCAAAAAACCACCGATCGAAAGGACGTGCGATGCACCAGTCCTCGACTGTGGCGAAGGCAACGTGGGTGGGGTCGTACCCATATCCAGATCCTTCGTGCTCGCGAACGGGGCCGACCTTCAAAAAGTTGCCCGCCACTTCCAGCCCGTTCGCCTTGGTAAGCGCCAAGTTGGCCTCGTCGGGGGTCGTGAACTGCACAAACCCGAATCCTTTCGACCGTCCAATGTCGTCGCGGTTGAGCGCCACCGACACGACTTCACCAAATGCACTGAAGACCGCCTTCACGTCGTCTTCGTTGATGTTGCCATGGAGGTTGCCCACGTACACGCGGGACGCCGCAGACAGCGACAGGCCCTGTTCGCAAACAAATGTCAACATCACAAGTCAAAGTCACGTGCACAAAGGAAACACATGCAGTTGATCAATCCTTTGCACTTGGAATCTCAGGCTAAGGTGTTTGCCCGTGGGCGGACATACGCACAATCCAAGGCCGTAGCCGAGAAGAGACGGGTTCAACGAATGAAGAGGAAACGTACCGAAGAACTGCCGCCGCCGCCGCTGCTGCTGCCGCCGTATGAACTCGAGTACCCACTGGCGCTGGCCTTTGTGGTTGGTCCACTGGAAAACACTGCGTCCTTTCGCGCAGCAAAGTTCTTCTCGGCCTCACTCGCCTTGATCAAGATCGGAAACGACTGGAAGGATGGGACCTGGCCGTTCACGAGCAGCACCTTCGGAATATCTTCCAAGTTGGAGAACTCGACATACGCAAACCCCTTCGACTTGTTTGTAAACTTGTCGCGGATCAGTAGTACATGCTCGAGTTTAGCCAACGACCCAAAGAATTTTTCCAAGTCGCGCTCTCGCACTTTTTGCGTCAACTGCCCGACAAACACCGTGCGGTGGTCACGCGTGAGCTCCATGAGCTCGCGCTGCTTGGCCCGTTCAATGCGTTCCTGGGACGTGCTTCGTGCGCGTGGTGGTTCTGAAAGATTGTAAAACGACATTATGCGTTGAAGACAGTTCGTACCAGGAGCAGCAGGTTCTTTCCTGTCTTTGGACCGGCTTCGGGAATGCGACTTGGACCGTCGACGTGATCGACGACTATCACGTGACCGTGAGCGAGACCGTTTGCGTCGACTATCTCTTTCACGTGAGCGGTCACGGCGGTCTCGGTGATCTCGGCGATGTTCTCGCGAGCGGGAACGGGGGCGGTCGCGACGGGACGAGTCTTTGTATCGGCTCGACCCAGCATCTTCCATGGACGCATGCTCGCCTCCTCCTCCCTAGACACATCCATCCCATGAGCATTAACATTCTTGTGAACTTGTACAGATCCATCGTCGTACGTTAGCGGCGGCCTTGATGCCTTGTTCCAGCAAGTGATCGATGTCGTCGTCCATGGGGTCCGCAGCTCTTCTTGCGTTTGTGGTGCAAGTATACCCTGTAGCATTTTATTCGATATGGATTATTACAGGTTCACCACCTCAAGAAATCTTCCAAAGTTAGCATACAAATATCCAGTGTAAGTTAATTATCCTGTGAGAATGAATTCCAATTGTGAGATTTGATCCGACCGCCACGTACGGTATTCGGAACAAAAACGGGCCACCCACGCAGTCGATGAAGTTGCAACCCCGTAGCGAAAGGCAGCGTGAAAATGAGCTGGAGAATAGGAAGGGGGCATATACCGCTATCCTGTACCTTGATCTGGACGTCACCAGGAACGTTAGTCTGAAGGGCGTCCCTTGTAATCTCCCTCGGCGCGTGTAATAAAAAGATTGAACGAATTAAAACAACACCCTTGTATAGATCAATGAGGGTATTTATATTGGGCGCATAAAAATACTGCTGGGATGTCGCAACGAGAAAAATATCTTGATGTTTGTATACCGCCGTGACAACATGACCTTTGTATGTACTTCGTTTTCAGCCTCATCTGAAGTCAATTGACGAAGATCACAAGAGTGTGTCATGAGTGCTTCCAACGATGCCGACCGCCAAATCAAGCAAATGGTGAACTTTATCTTGCAGGAAGCGCAAGAAAAGGCGAACGAGATCCGTATTAAGGTATGTCGGCAGTCCTCTCCTATCGCTGTGTGGCCAGGACCCATCGGCAGCCCATGTCACGTAGACGGAACACGATTTCAACTTGGAAAAGCAAATGTTGGTGCACAATGCGAAGTTGAAGATCCAAGAAGAGTATGCCCGCAAGGAGAAGGAGCGTGAAATTAACAAGCGCATGTAAGTTAGCCGAACCCTTTTCTCGTGATGTGATATTCAACATGTCCATAGTTCCCGGTCGGCTGAAATTGGCGCGTCCCGCCGCAAGAAGATGATTGCCCGCGAAGAACTCTTGCAGGCGTTGATCACGGAAGGCAAGGCCCGATGCGCTGAAGCCACGAATAACGAAGCGTCGTATCGTACGTTGCTTCGCGACTTGGCCGTCCAGGTTTGTGGGTTGTTCACTCGCCACGTTGGTTTTCATTCGAATGGCGATGTAGGGTCTGATCAAGTTGCATGAGACTGAGGTCATGATTGTCGTGCGAAACAAGGACGTGCGCTTGGTGGAAAGCTTGTTGCCCGAAATCTTGTCCAACTATGCGCAAATCCTCAAGCGTGAAACTGGCTTGGACGTGAGCAAGACCGCCTTGACCGTGTGCAAAGAGGAGCGACAGCTCCTCCCTGCGACCTCGGCCGGCGGGGTCAAGCTGGTGGCGCGCCAAGGCAAGATCGTGTGCGACAACACATTGGACACGTACGTCATGCATCGTCCTTCTCCACTGGCCCGTCACGATTTTCACACAGGCGTTTAATGCAAGTCAACTACGAACAAAAGCCCAAGATCCGCCAAATGTTGTTCCCCGAAGTCAAGAAATAGGTGCTTCTCGCACTTTGCATGGGCCGCGACCGACATGGCCCTGTCCGCCTCGAGTCTGCCCAAGTTGATCTGCTCCTCTGGTTAACGTAATGCAAGTCAAACATGGTGGGCAGTGTTGCAAAGACAAAAAAGAGGCGATCGCCTCCACGCAGTCCGTAGCTTCATGGTGGGGTTGGAACCAGTGTGGACGCCTGCAGACCACGCCCGTGTAGCTCGTCTTGCCGGCAAGTACCAACCGTCGTCCTCCTCACCTTGGCAAACAAATTGTGGCCTCGGGGTGTTGCACATGTTGGACAGTGTGTCCGAAGCTCCTTCATGTCCATGCAAGTTGGGTCCGAGTGGGGATCTCCATTGGACAACCACACGCACTGTCGAGTGGCCCGACCTCAACGAGTCGACCAGAAAGCTCTCATGTCAAGTTAAGCTGCGACAACACGGCGCTGCATTTCGCGTCAAGTTTCAGGGTCGCCAGCGGGTCCGCTCTCGTCGGTCCGATGTTGACGATCGCGAGGGGGATGTTCCATTCCTTGGCGCGCATGGCAAAGCGGTAGCCAGAAAAGACATGCAACGACGATCCGAGGACGACCATGGCGTCGCTCTGCCGCACAGTCTCGTAAATCTGACACCCGTCAGCACACAAGTGTGGAGAAGGGGCTCGATCTGACCTGATCGACTTTTGGCTTGGGCACACTGTCGCCAAAGAACACAATATTGGGCTTGTACATGGCCTGGCCGCAGTATGGGCATACGGCAACTTGAAACGCCCGCTCCATCTCCTACGACAGCGTCGACGTCGGCAAGAGCATCTTCACGTGCACGGCACCTGCGTGAGGAACATGTCTGCGTCTGGACGCATGCGGTCGTCTTTGTCGTCTGCTACGACACTCCCATCGTTGTACACTGCCGTTGTGGACTGCGCCACGACGTCTTGATGTACCAAATCTTCGTAGATGGGGTTCAACCGCGACAAGATTGCCTGGAACGTGTCGCGATCGATGGGCGGGGCCGCGCACCCAGGATGCATGCAAAGCACTTCCTCGGAGGACCCATGCAGCTCAATTACCTGCATACATACACAAGGATGAAGGCGTGCGAAGTGAGATGTGGAGCAGTGTACATGGCGACTTCCGGCTTTTGTGTGGAGCCGATCGACGTTCTGCGTGACAATCGTCACGTCCCTGGACGAGAACTATAAGCTCAATGGCCATCGTCGTGTTGACAGTACCAACGCCCAGACTCTTGCCATCGCGCCAAGATGTTGTGGTTCGTATTGGGCTGAACGGCGCGCCATTTTCCCCTTGCCATGAAGTTTCGTGCCCAATAGCGTTGACGCGTCTGCGACACATCGATTCGTCATCAATACCATCGCATTGTGTTCAAGGGTCTCTTACTGCTGCGCTCGTCATGAAGTCCATGTGCTGGATTGGACGATGGTTCGCTCGCGCATACAGACCGACGCCTGCCGATCGATAGTCTGGAATCCCGCTCTCCGTCGAGATACCAGCACCCGTCAGCACCAGTATCTTCTTCGACTTGGACACGAGTTCCTGAAGGAGCTGCAGCTCCAGCATCCGAGGCTTTCCATGAGCTGGGATATACGAAGAAAGGAGTCGCCTCCCGTTGATGCGCTGCATGTTAGTTTGGTGAATTCGGCGATGTTCATGTGATACGCACCTGAAACGCACTATGCAAGCCTGGGATGGCAATTTGCTGCGGAAGACGCACTATTTGCGCGAATGGTGCGTAACTTTTGCAAACGTTCCGGATACGGAAGGGGATGTCCGGATAAAGTTGCAAAGTATCCGGATGTCGTGACGATGTTTTGCGGATCATTCGCATCAACAGGGAACGAAAGGGTGCACCCACGTCGTGCCTTCACCTGTTCCGTTCGAGAAGAATCATTGACATGGCTCGTGCAACTCTCCGTCTCACGCATACCGCTCGCCCACGCCTGGCTGTGCATCGTTTCCCTCGCTCCGCACGTGCTTCCGACGACGCCGCCCTCATCGGACAACTCACAACGTTGCTCGCAACCTCCTTGCCATTGAGTTCCTTGTCGCTCTCGGCAGATGAGATTTCGTTAGTTATCTGTGAAGATGCCATGTTACCTGTTGCCCCTACGTCGACGGAAGCGGGGTGGTCAACGTTCAAAGTCGAAGGACCGCTTGACTTCGCCTTGACTGGCATTTTGTCGTCTCTGACCGCTCCTCTCGCCGCGGCTGGGATCCCTGTTTTTGCCATCTCCACGTATGACACGGACTACATGCTGGTGAAAGGCGACAAAGCACAGGGTGCCATCGACGCGTGGCACACCACTGGGCTTGCGGACGTAACCATCGTGTCAAGTTAGCCCTGTGTTCTTCCATCATTCTCGTCAAGCAGAACTGCACACGGCAGCGTTTGGAGATCCTTTGTACTCTTTATTCATTCGCATTGTATCGGAGTCGTGGCTGCGCTAGTAAATATGGACCATGCCGTAACCAAGCGTCCAAAACAAGATGAACGACACGACATGGCCACCGATGCCGTAAAACAGGAACGAATACCACTTCATGTTGAAATACGTCTCGACGTCGAACTTCATCTTGGCCAGCAGCGCTACGGACGTCACGACGTACAGCGCCACCATGAACGCAAACCCTTGGAACGCCGTCAACCCAATCACGCCAGCCATGCTTCCTGACACGACGCACATCGCCGTCTGCGTAAACTCGACCACGCCTTCATTCTTCTGCACGTTCTCCACCGAGAAGAACTCTTGGCTCTCCTGCTGCGCCTCCATCTCGGCCTCGTTCGATCAGCTCTGTCCGCAAACGAGGAGCTCTGCTGGTGCGATATCCGGATATCCCGGCCTTCTTATCCGAACACCGTGTTCTGTCAACGAATACCATGTTACGACATCCGTATATTTTATCCGGACACTCCGCCATTCCGTGAAAGCCGTGGTGAGCAAGCAAGCATGTCAGCACAGAATGAAGTCAGCTTAATGGATTTGACGATGGAGCAGCTGAACAATCTAAAGACGCAGTTTGAGCAGGAGCTACAACAGCTTACGTCGTCATTCACAGGCCTCCGAGAAGCACAGACTCGTTTCTCCGACTCCAAAGTCGCGCTGCAGTCGCTGCAACCGGCCAACCTAGGCAAGCGCGTGCTGGTTCCTTTGACGTCGTCGATGTATGTCCCAGGAACGCTTACCAACGTGGAGACTGTGCTCGTGGACGTGGGAACGGGCTACTTTGTCGAGAAGAATGTTGACGAAGCCAAGGGGTTCATGGACCGCAAAGTCGCGTTCCTGCAGCAAAACACCGAGTCGCTCAAGGACGTGCTTGAAAACAAACGTACCAACTTGGAAGCGGTAATTCAAGTCATGCAACTCAAGATGCGGTTGGCCGAGCAGGGAAAGTAATCGACTTGTCAACATCGCAATTAGTTTGACCCCCATGACCGTTCGATCCTTTGTGGAGTCGCCATGAGGCTTGTGCAATTGATGATCCGCGCCACTCAAGCGCCGTCATTGTACCCACGCCGGATCCGGCAAAGCAATTGCGCAAACGACCACAGAGGGTACATTGTGCACTCTCCTCCAACAACGTCCGCGTTTACTTTCAAGAGGCACCGCGAGGTCCAAGCGCTCGCGACGTGTCACGAGCCAATGTCACAGGGCTGCAGCGCCGTTGTACTTTTTGAGCGAATGCCAAACACAGACCCGGGGCATGGAGGGCCTTGGTTTCTCGTGGGCACCAGTGCAGCAATAAACCCCTTCCGCCAAGACACATCTGCGTCAGGCACCACTTGAGCTCCATTCAAGCCATTCGGTGCCTTGCTCATCGAGTCGACGTCATGGACAACGACGCGAAATGATATGGCGTGCTTTCTGCAATCGAAACCGATACCGGATACCATTATCCGGTCTTGAAACTGTCGCCAAGCCATAAGATGGTCCGCATCAAGGTGCGCGTGTTCACGTTCTCGATCGATCCGACCGTGGAGCACTCTTACCTCGTGGGAAGCGCTGCGGTACGTCCACGTACAAGCAGCGGGTGTCTCACTCGTTCAAAAGGGTGGCTTGAGCTCCGCCATCGGGATGATCGTCCTGGACGACGACGACGACTTGACATTTGCATCGGTGCGCCCGCGGATTGAGCTGAAAGAGGAAAACGGTCTCATCCGGTACCATTGCAAGTTGCGATGGTGCCGCAGTGCCTGACACGTTGAAAGTACAGGCGAAACCTCATGTTCCAAGAAGCATTGTTCCAGATGACCGAGGCACGGAATCCCCATCAATGGCCGACTCACACGCTGCAAACGTACTGGCTTGGATACTACAAGAATGAGGACGACATGACCCCAACCATCATCCCCGTGCGCTCGCTCCCAACTGATTGCTAGCTCATGGCACACTTGCTTTGCGTATAGACCGAAGACGAGGCCAGGTCGCTCCGGGATGTGCTGGATATGAAGTCGACGAAAGTGACGGCGGATTTGATCATCGTACCGCAGAGTCAAATTGGACCGGTGTGCGCCATGTGCTGCCAGGGGTGTGCTCTATGCCCCGCAATTCAGCTCCACGCAACTCCACGATAATGCGAACGGGTGCAATGAAGCAGATTCCTTCAATGTTGCCGTGCAAACACACTGCTGTCGGCAATTCTGATGGATCTGGTCGAACGTTTGAAGGGGCATGTCGTTTGGAGGGTCACCTTGAGGCGGCTGGCGCATTCTGAGCTCCAAAGGTCATGGCGCAAACTTGTCTGTCATCACGCCGTGGCAGATCAGGGGCATCGCCGTGAAACCACGCGTCCAGTAGTCAGTCTTAATGCAGGACGGAATATTATAACTCAGTTATAATCCTGGAAGAGTACACGGTGGCCACGAGCCAAATGTATAAGTCTAGCTGCGACACAACTACGTCATGGCGTGATCCTGGCCGGTCGGGCGCGGACTCAACAGAGCAGCCTTGGGCGACAAGGTGAGCCCACCAACGGCAGCAACGTCGACTTCGAGCTCTTCTTCGGCAACGGGGTCCACTTGCTGCGCAAACTTTTGGGCGTTTACAGACGCCTCCAACCACTGCACGCGGGAGAGCCCCCACAGCAAAATCAACGCCTTGAGAGTCTCTCCGGCTGTGTCGGCCCACCAGAATCCGGCAAGGCCCCAGTGGCACACTATCGGCAAGACATAACTGAGTGGTACGTACACCCCCCACGACGCAATGTTGTTGGCAATCAAGTTCAAGTCTGCCCTGGCGAGGGCGTTCATGGCTGCAGTGAGCAAAAACCGCACGAACGCAACCAGGACACATCCGACGAACGCCAGCGTGGCCGACGTGCACGTGTTCAGAATGGCCGGGTCCGTGCTCCAGATGCGAAACAGAGAACGGCTGAACAGGCCCAGGACGAGGCACAGCACTGCCGAGCACGACAGGACAATCGTGAGCCCCAAACGGAGCACGCGCTTGGCGTTCTCGGGTTTGCCTTGTCCCAAGTAGCGAGCCATTCGAATTTGAGATGCCGCAGAGAACCCAAACACACACGAGTTGACGACGCCAAAGAGTCCCAACAGGATGGCTTGAGCAGCAGCAACTGTCGAACCCAGCAAACCCGAGAACGAGCCCGCCAACGTCCCAGAGCCCCAGTCGACCACAGACGACGCCCCCATGGGCAATGCCAGTGCAAAGAACGCTCGAAGGCGGTCGGCATGGACACACTCCCAGCTCCACCCGCCCCAGTACTTCACGTGGTAGCCCTTCCACACGATCGTGTACAGAACGAAAAGCGTCAACTGCAACACCGTGCTGACAACCGTCGCGAGCGGCGACCCGAGGAACCCGATGCCATCCCACCCAAACGCTCCGTAGATGAACACTTGATTGAAGCCGATGTTGACGAGCATGGTGACGGCACTGCACAGCGTGGCAGGCATGATCACGCCTTGCGTTGAAAAGTACGTGCTCAGCGCGCCGTACACGTACTGCGGGATGAGTCCCAGCGACATCACACGGGCAAATGCGGCCCCGAACTCGACCGTCTCGGGATCGCCCATCGTCCACGCAATCATGTGGCCGACAAACTGGTACCAAATCATGACCGGGATCCCAGCTACGACGGCAAACACAATTGCCGTTTGGAGCCACGTGCCGACGAGGTGATTGTTGCCAGCGCCATGCGCTTGGCTACACAGCGTACTGATGGCTTGGATCGACATTTGGACAAATCCTGACGGCACACCCATCCAGCCCATCGCGAGCGCCACACCCGCCAACTGTTTGGTGCCGACGTGGCCTTGAAACGCAGCGTCCGTGATCGTCATCACTTGGCGCACCATTTGGCGCAATGAAATTTGCACAGCCATGCTGGCCAACTCACGCAACTCGGGGCCAAGCGGTCGGATGGCTTCAGACGTCGTGGGGCCACCGGGTAGCAACGATGCCTTTTCGGATGCAACATTCACCATGTCCAAGCACGAGGAAAGATGAGGTATGACAATCACGCGAGTTTTGAATCCGAACAAGACTGCCCCACGTCCTCCGCCCGCGCACTGATCGAATCCCGTTTTGGCGCGCATCGCCCACGAAATACGTGGTGGACATGTGGCCCTGAGAAATTGCTCGACCTCGGAGTGTAAGGGCTAGAACAACGGTGTTCCAAGCGAAATTGTGCCTACATACGCTCGGTGACTTTTGTGGGCGAGATGTTTGGCGGGGAAACCCAAGTCGGCGTGGTGGCTGCACGCGAGACGATCGTTCCGTGCGGTCATGGATCGAAGTCCCACAGCTTGCTTCACTCTAGGGGGAGGGGCATCTCCCATGCAATTATTTTTTAGTTTACGCAACGTCGAGTCGATGCCGCAACGTCCATTTCGACAAGGAGTGTGGCTATTTCCGCGCGGCCTTGGGGCCCAGCCCCATAGAGCGAAGGATGCCCGCCTTTTTCACGAATGGTCACGTGGATGTTTGTGTTTGAAGCCAAATTGTTTATGGCTGCTGAGGCGATGGTGGGAGCGTCTCCAAAAAGTCGAACCAAGGACAATTGGGGGGGATGCTCGTGGAAGTTGCACCGCTGCTGTGAAGGCAGCGGTGCAAGAGCAAATGGTCTTTGTTCTTAGAATCTGTGTTACTCTACAGCGCAGATTCACGACTGCTGTAGCTGCTTTAGATGCTGCATCACATCGGTGCGACATCACCAGTCCGGAGGGAACTGCATGAAACTCAACGTGTCCACTGAAGCAATGTCGAACGGTGGCAAGTCGATGGCGTATTGAAAACAAGGCCCATTGAGCACCATCGTGTGGTATTCGCCATTCTCGCCGCAAATGTCGATATTCTTGCCGTCGTTCTGGATCGAGTGCAGTGCTGCGATCGAGGCGTCGTTGATGGGTTGCCCCAGCCACCTTGACACGGGGTGAAATGGCACCGTCTTCACGCAAGAAAATACGACATGAAGCCGACGTTTCAACAGCGTTGCCAGAAGCTCGTCCCTTGATCGCTGCCACAGAGGAAACACGCTTGTTAGCCCTGCAGCTTTGCATCGCTCTTGAATAAATTTGGTCGTGGAAGACCCAATGTAGTCGATGTCTCCCGTCACGATGTGCGTGACACCCAATTCATCGTGGAGTGATCGCAAGTGGTGTTCGTAGCTTTCTGCGTACGGCGTCGCCACCGTCTTGATCAAGTGCAATTTGCCAACTGCTGCCGCCTGGCGACGCATCAGCGACAGTGGGTGCGCTTTGAAGCTCGGGTTCTCCGGTGCGAACGTGACAAGGTACTGCACATCGTACCCGCGGTCCACCGCATCCATCATCGCCATCACAGAGTCCTTCCCACCAGTCCACAGGACTGCTGTCACCATGCCCGTCATGGGCTTTGCGCCGAGGTGGGTTCAATTCTCAATCCACCAATCGTATCGCTCATACGCTCCACTATACTATATCCAAGTGGTCGTGAAAAACAACACAAGAAGTTAGAGGTTGGCACATGGCCCGCCTTCGTCGCGAGGAGCGAACCTTCATCAGCAGTGGCTTTGACGTGATACTACGGCCAACACAGCACACAACATGCCTCTCCCTATGCGCCCGGAAGAATTCGAATTCGTGGCGGAGATCACATGGGACAAAAGGAAATGACCAATGTGGGATTCGAACCCACGCCCTTTCAGACCAGTGCCTTAAACTGGCGCCTTAGACCGCTCGGCCAATTGATCACATTGTTTTAAGCCTTTAGCTCAGTGGTTAGATGGCCTGTCTTGCAACCAAAAGATCTCCGGTTCGATTCCAGGCTTCCGCTATACTTTCCGACGAATTCAACACCGACACGCGGACCTCTAAAGATGGACTGTCCGGATGAGGGGACCCCGGGTTCCGGTTAAAACCAATTGTCCGCGACATTTCAGGAAAATCAAAATCCTCCCCCTCGAGTGAGCTCCATCAGCCGGAAAAAGTGAGAAGGCAATACTGTATTACACGGATTACACGGAGCAATCAGTTGAATATCCGGTTAAAACCACTAATGTACCTCCCTTGACAGTAAAAAAACTGTGATCACATTGACTCATAGGTTTCAATCATGACAATACCTGACAAACTCACATACAAAAACTTTCATATGGAGGAACAGTGCTCAGAGAGGAAGCATGAGTTGCAGGTACAAGCATGTAGACGCTGCCATCGTTACAAGTACAGGTTCGAATTATGCTGTGCAACATCGTTGAATTCAAAGTACATGTTGACCACGTCTTAGTTCGTGGGTTGAATTGATTGTACAGCAAATCATCGCCCGGGAACATGCATATATTGAACAATATATGGATTTTGAGTAAAAGAGTCTCCCACTGCGGGGCTCGAACCCGCGACCACAGGATTAAAAGTCCTGCGCTCTACCAACTGAGCTAAACGGGACTCAATGATCACATGAGTTCTTGCGGCATCAAAACATAATCGCATGTAATCCATGCAACTCTGTTCGACATTTTCAATTTGGATTTCATGGCTTTACCAAGTCAAGTCCTCGTGCTCGGCGCACCTGGATTTACCACTGAAGAGCTTGTCGAGAACATCGTGCGCAAGGTGGATGCGTCCCAAGAGATCGCATGGACTACTGCTGCCTCTTCTGTGCATCGTGCCCATGGAGTGACGATCTCGACCAAGTATTATGCCGCTCCAGTGGTTTTCCATGTGCACTCACACAAGTTTGACGGCGATTGGGCAGCGTACGAGGCTTGTCTTCTTGTATGGGATACCAATGATTCAACCTCGTGGTGCCAAGTGCAAGACTCTGTCGACCGAATGGGCGAGCATTCATATGATGTGCTACTCGCAGTAGCCTTTGGGTCGTTGGACCACTCCAACATCATTGAAACCACGGCCGATTGGTGCCTCGAGCATGGGGTCGAACAAGTGGTTGTTACTCCTGTCGAGTCTTCGAACGACGATCCAATCTCTACCTCAGTTGACGGCACAACGGGTGTCGATCGCATCGTGGAAGCTCTCGAATGTACAATGTGGACATCAATGGAAATGAAGAATGGCCACGCACCTCCATCCCAAACGTCCTCGTTGAATGCGCAAACTTCTCCCTGCAAGCGTGACACTCAGCCTCGCGACGCGGTCTTCTCCAACGTGGTCGAAGCACCTGACCGGAGCACATCTGCACCTTCTACCTCCACTTCCGTGCCGGACAAAGACAGAGAAAGCGTTGAAGAGTTTGAATCGCTTCTGCAGGAAGTACAGGCAATTCGATCGCAGATGCACGGTGTCTCGGACGACGAACGAAGAAAGCGCGCTGCCGACATGGCCATGCGTCTCTGGGAAATGATGGGAGCTGGCGACAGTGATTCCGGACGAGAGAGCGACTCGGATTAACGAACGATGTAGCATTGTACAAGACAAACGTTTGCATGTATCTGGCTGTGGCTTTACTCTTCCATTCAGCATGTGCCCCTTGTCCAAACTTTTGGTTGTGAAAGGGTCACGGTCCATGGCGACTTGCACATGGGGGAATGCTGCTCCACCATGATCTCTTCATGTAAGATGGCCTCTTCCACGGCCAGATAATGTTGCTCGGTTCGTGGTGGGCTATTCACCTCACATGGATGTTGCAATTCGCTCGGGCGATGTACTAGACCAAAGCTGGGGAAGATGAGAAGTCCCTTTCTCGTGGTCTGGCATTTCTCATTTGTCACGTCAAAAGCCGCGGAAAGCGGAGCCGGTGGTCCAAATATGACGCCATGCTTGAACAACATGACGGAATGGGTGGCACCCATTCCGTCGATTCCTCTAACGAGCCATGTGCAGTTACTCGATCCAAGTCGCTCCGTCGTCCAAATCCAAACGAATGCCATCGTCTACAGCCTTGTCAGGTCTGCGGACTCGAGCATCGCGTTGCAGCATCCGATTTCTTCACTCATCGAGTGATATTCCACACTCACTCGACCGCGAACGTGGCTACGAATGGGTTTCCTTTGGCTCGGCATATTTTTGACTCAGGCGGGCGCAACTATGAAGCTGTCCTGAGGAGTGATGCGCAGACTGTGGTGAGTAATCTCTGCCATCCCATTGTTCGTACTATGGATGGTGAGCCACAAAGCAGTGCACATAACGACTCAGGTGAAGTGCAGATACCACTACTATTCGACGCTTCGTTTGAATTTTTTGGACGAATACATCGCGTCTAAGTAGCCTCGGTGACGGAGATCGTGGTGCTCATGTCGGCAGAGCATGCATCGGCGTCACGTGATAGGGGTTCTATTGGGTTTACGACGAAAATGCTTCCTAGTGTAGGTCTAATCGAACGACAGCTGACGCTTTCGCCTTCCTAGCTTTGCGAAGTACGGCGTTGAGGAGTCGTCTCGCGTGGGCTGTTGGTCTGACTGCTTGGCCTTAGCTGCTTCTCGCTCGAGCTCGCGCTTGGTCGGTCGAGGCTTTATGACTTTGTGGCACGGAAACACGAGCTTGCGCTTGATTTCGACACCAGAACAAGTGAACACAAGGCGTCGCTTGATTGGAGGCACGTCCAAACAAGGATCTGCCTTTTCGACGTTCCACATGATGTGTTCAACGAGTGACATCGAGTTGGTCATGTCGTGCATCGCCATTTCAACTCGAGCTCGCTCGACGTCCTAGTTACACACATATTCAGTCAAAGGGGGACGGTGCAATAGAGCACGGACGCACTCACCACCATGCTGCCTTGATAGATATGCCTATGGGTACAGGGAACTGTGGATTGCACGTCGATCGGAGGCGCGCGGGGGTGACTGCGCGCGTTCAGGTCAAAAGTGTCAATGTTGTACTCTCGTTTTCAAAACTTCAAACCTTCGCTTATCCGGATGTCCGGTTACTCTTTCCTGGCGGTTTCGAATTTCAAACAAAACCCCGCATGTGCCGTCGAGCAGTGCAGGTGGACCTCCTTCGAGCCATGAACGGGCTGTCTTGTGCTGATTGTAGCTTTGACGGTTTATTGGGTCTGCTACACGTATGCTGCACCTTGTTTCTTGCGTCGGAGTGGCGAATGTCCCTGATGTCGTTGAGCAAAATCCATCGGGTTGAGACATTCCCATGGCATGAACGGCATCTGCGTATTCAAGTCACGATTGGTATGTGCAAGCACCAAGATATTGAGGCAACATTGCTGGGCCTGTCAAGAATTTTCGCATGAACGTCCAAAGAAAACGTGGGATCGATTCGGGACATCGTACATGGAATTTCGATTCCACATCTTGACACTTCTACACGGAGGCCGTTGGAGCTTTCCACATACGTAGTAGCGAATCAGCAAATGTGTGATAGATTTCACGGTGGCCGCAACTATCAAGCAATGATCCTTGATATCGTACTCGAACGCTATGACTAGCTGAGGGAATACGATAAATCATGTGGGCAAAATGGAGTTGAATTCCTGCTTGGAACGCATGCAGGTCATCCCGGTGACAGCAGCTGCATCTCGTAGTAAACATGGTACATACATTATACGTCGACGGATTTGAAGTGTACGTCATATTGCACAGGAAACGCAGTGGAAGGCTGGAAGCGCTCTCACCGATCATGGCACGATTCCATGGAGCACACGCGACGGTTTATACTGAAGTTCTTGTACGTGTGCCTCTCTCTTCGTCGACGCTGCAGCTCGTCTTTTGATCCCTACAGCTCCTCCATCGACGCCCGTCCGTCCCTCCACCACGATCGATTGTCGTGTGATTGTGGTGGCGCTCCATGCAAATATTTTGGCGCGCGGGACATATTTAATTGGATGTCAGCGCGGGGGGAGCGGCGAGAAATATAATGACCTTTGGGTGGATGGGATGGATATTATTATCCGGGAAACAGGGCGTCTCTTTTATCCGACTGTTCAATGTTCTATAGTACAACCAAGGTAAAAACCTCGAGAATAGGACTGGCGACAGAGGAAAACTGGCCTTCTTTTTTCCGGCATGGTTGCACGAAAGATATGGAATAAAATTCGGCATTTTAATGGAAGAATCAATAAAAAAGCAACCAGTCTTGGCATTGTATTATGCAATAATTTAAATCGCACGATTGATTTGAATCGACGAATTCTATTACAATTTTATTATGCTCTGCTGACTGAACAAATGTATAGCCGAGCAAAAAAAATATGCTACTAAGGTTCAAATATTTAAATTCCACCAATCACAGCGCACTCCTCAACTGCATTCATCCAATCACTGACCGAGATTCCCCCACTCGGCAGCTTGGGCTTATTCATTCTCCGTTTTGAACCGAAAGCCCAACGAACGGCATGAGCGGGTCCGTCATGAACGCGTGCAGCTGCAAGAAGCGAAAGTGCCCTCGATGCTGCGAGCAAATGCTTGTCCAGAACTTGTTCAAGGTGCTTGTCAAGCTCCCCGAGAAGAGCATTGAGTTTCGATGTGTCCGAGCGCTTCTCAGCGGCAGCTTCACCAACATCAACCTGAACTCGACCTTGGCATCGTGTGGGTACACGGTGAACATTGCCCCCCACAGCTACGCAGCTGGTACGATCATCCTTACTCTTGAACGTTAAAACTAATGGTGGACGCAGGTCGCCGTGACTTTACCCTGCTTGAAAAGGGTCATGGCTTGCAAAAGAATCCAAACTCCCCGTCTGGCCCTCGTCGCGGCCGTCGCGGTATCTCGAAAGTGTTTCGCCAAGAAATTGCGCGCTACTTTTCGCTCGGACAAGCGTTGGATGCAGGCCAATGTCTGCTCTGGTTGAAGGCTAACGTCTTGGATGAATCGACGTTTCCCACGGAAGAAGAGATTCATCGTGTCTTGACCAACTTGAGTATGTTTCGTATTGTAGCCATGGATTCGTGTTCTCATTGTTTTTTCGTAGGCCAACCCAAGATCAAACGCGCGCCGGGCGAGGGCGAAGGCACGGAGCGCCGTGGTCGCAAGCCGAATCCGTACCGCAGTCAAGTCACGATGTTCCTCCTCAACAACAAGAACGCGAACCCGAACGATTGCTATCAGTGGCTCCTGCAAAACTACGTGAACCCGGACCTTCCGCAGCCCGACCTCAAGCAAATCAAGACGCTGATCAACAACATTAAGTCGAACCCGAACTTCCGATCGCAAGCCATGTACTAACCAACTCATTCTATTTTCCTTTGGTCTTTCCATGTTGCGTGTACGTGTTCCGTTCTCGACTGCCGTCGAGTCTCACGCGCAAGGTGTCTGTTCTAGGAGTGTCCTTTTATGATCGACTTCCGCGTGGTTCTTTCACCACCGCGTGTACTGTCCCCCCGTCGTGCTGTTGCTATTTATTGCCCGTCTGGACGATTCATGGGGCGAAGGCGCAGCGATGAGAGATAAGATTCCGGAAGATATTTTCGCCTGTGTATAGTCGGCGTCCTGTTGCGTGCCTTCAACGTGCGCGCGAGCATCGTGGGTTTTGCGCAGACAAGTGCATCCTGCTCCATGTTGTGGAGTGCGCGATGTCCGTCAAGACGGTGGCGCGCCGAGAGGCGTCGTTTGTCGCAAAGTGGTGGCATGGGAACAATGAAGCGAGTAGGTGCTTGGATCATGGCCAAAGACGGCGCAAGGGCTGGCGGTACTCTGACCACGCCATCTGCCCTGCTCCACCATGAGCGCACTACAGAACACACAATCTACGGATTGAAGCAATGGGAAGGTAGTCTGCTACAACGTGGTCTACTGAAAGGCAGTCGAAGCATCGAGGCGCTTCCACGACACCTCTTCGACCATGGCTCCTTCTGCCGCGATGGACACGTAATGCGAGTCGTCCAGCGGAGTGATCTTGAAGTGCCAAGTGCTCGCATGCACGCCGTCGACGTAGAGCGAAATGGCACTTGTGTCGGGCGCGATGACAAACTGTTGGCGCTTCAAGTCGATGACGATACCCACGCCCAGGGCCTTCGTGTACGCTTCCTTCAAACTCCACAGCAAGTAAAAGCGTCGAATTTGATCGAGGTCGTCGCCAGGTTCACCTCGAATGTATTTCCATTCCCGAGGACCAAACTGGGCGTCAAAGCACTCGAAGAAGGTAGCCAACGCCTCCCTCGGCAATTCCACGCGCACCACGTCGATGCCAATTCGTCTGTCGGATTGGCACGCAATGGCGCAGATCGCTCCATGATGGGATACGTTGTAGTTCCACGTAGGAACAGGACATGCAGGCCATGACGGTTTGCCCTGGAGAATCAATCGCTCGAGACGACGGTGAACACGGGATCGATCGACGTACATGGTCGTTGCGAACGATTGAAATGGAGGGGAACGGAACGTGGAACGTATCTGCGACGATCTTTCGTTGGAGCAGGCGACTGCAGAGAGCAAACTTTTGATCTTTGGGGAATCGATACCGCATCACCTACAACAAGACACCATTGTCAGAGAGAGACGGCGCGATGCCATTAGCGGATCGCATAGAGAGAACGCACTGCTTGTTGTTCGTCAGAAGGCAGGCGATGAAGCAAAGCTTTCCATTCATCTGGAGTTGGCGCCCACGCCTCCACGTTTACGTACCATCGGTGCCCAGGTACCGACGTCGCCATCGCGTTCGTCGGCTGTCGGACAGTTCAATGCTCCGACATCTAATTAAATCCAACGATAACTTTGATTGGCTAAAATAAATCTGCAAGTGCCCAATAAAATGAATTTCAGCATTTTCGGGCACGGCCGTCCAACATCCTGGAGAGTCATCGTCGCATGTGCCGAGAGCTGTACAGAACCGCGAAGTCCATCGCATCGACGCTATATGGAAGCTATGGACCGTCATGCACTTGAAGTGCTCGCCCTCCACGTGAACCTGTCCTCTCGAGGCTACGAGAGCGGCGATCGTTCAGTTGCTAAACCCACGAGGACAAGTCTGGTTCACCAACCGACCGCCGCCGCGCGCTCTCCAACACAAGACCAACTCGGACTTGTTATTGCAATGGACAAAATCGACGTTGGCGGCAGGCCAAACTCAACGCTCCTGTAGCAGAGCGCCACGGGATCATGAAAGGTCGCGACATTTCATTTTTCTCAACCGTCCACCGAGACACTGCAAACGTTGACATCTCTCTCAAGGCAAGAACGAGGAGCTCGATAAAATGGTCGCTGCTGGACGAGCAGCTTGCAGAACATCACAGCATTCACTCGTCGCCTCAGGAGAGCCACGTTTTGTCGGGACGAAGTATGGTGTCCTTTCGTACCTGCAGTCCGAGTGCAATTTTCCTCCCAACGTGCAAACAACTGCTTCGACATCGATGCACGAGCAACCAGAGAGATGGCAATGCGGGCCATATAGATTGACGATGGGATGGATCGGGAACGCTTGGAGTTGGCGCGGATGGCGTTTCGTTCTAATCTTAGCTGGTTCGTTGCCGTTATTCGCATCGGAATCACTTCCTCGGCGGGCAGCTTCCCGATACCAAAAGCTCAACGATGGGGGACAGTGTCGAGGACTCAGCCGTGAACGACTTCCTTCAGATTCTCGAGGAGCACCGAAAGAACTGCGAGAAGCAGGGCAAATACGTGGAGGCTGAAATTGCCAAGAACCGCCTGGACGAGCTCAAGGTCCATGAAGAGAATCGGCGAAAGGAAGCGATGCGGTCGCGGCAGATCGCAGAGCGCCTCGGCGTTGAAGAGGCACACATGCTCGAGTTCCAGCAGTTTAATTTGGTCTGGGACCGCAAGATGGAAGAGTACGAACGGAATGTGGACGAGCTCGTAGCATCGATGCGGGAGCGCCACCAAGGCGAGTTGCTCGACTTTCAGCAGAAATTGCTCGAGAAACAAACGAAACCCAAGTTTTCTAAAGAGCTTCTGAACCTGCGCAAGATCGAGGAGCACCTGGCCCGGCAAAAGGAGTACGTCGATGCCATGTATTGCAACCAACACCTCATGCATCATGCCTAGCTACGCCGAAGCCCACAAAATGAAACTAAAATCGGATGCGCTCGAAGCGTGGGAGATGGAAAAGTGGCGGAACTCCAAGCAGCAGGAGATGTTTCAGAGAGAAATCAAGTTCAAGCAGCGCCAGCGCCAGGAACTAGAAGCCCTCCAGAAACGGATCCAATCCGGTCGTGAAGAACAGAAGAAGCAGCGCCAGCTCGATCTCGAGCGCCTCTTGCAGCGCTATCAGAACGTCAAAGCTGAACTGCAACAGCAGCAAAACTTGGAGCGCATTCGTATCGAGAAGTTCTCCCTCACGGCAACCCAGCGCGTGACTATGAAGGTGTAAGGCGGCGCCACGAACAGAGAGCAGGCACCCAAGGGCGTGTGCTTGAGACCAGACAACGCCACTAGTACCACCAACCAGCGTATATATATAGCGTTCATGTAACAGCTTCCCTTGTGTCATCGATTGTCACTGCACGCGTGCTGTCGCGGAGTCCATGACGTTAGTCCCGCCGCACACTCTTGAACGCTTTCTTGTTCTGGATGAACATGTATGCCAGTGGAACGACCACACCGCTCATCATGATCAAGAAGCCGACCCAGTACGAGCTTGAGAAGTAGCTCACATTCGCGAGGCCGCCGCCGCGAGGACCTTGCGCTTCATCGTCGGTCATCGTCAAGTGCAGTTGGAGTGATGTTTAAAGAATTGGGATTGGGTGTTTAAAACGTTCTTAGGGGATATTGGTTGAAAATGGTAAAAACCAGATGTAATATATCCATGAAATTCCGAATATTTCACGCATATTTTTCAGTACAACGTATAAATTCTGAAACATGTATTTTAAACAGATCTACACTGTCCAATGCATAGTGATTGTGTTTTTGCAATGTCGTGGTGTGAATAAAATGTACTTGAATGCAGTATGAGAAGGGTATTTTTATTGAAGAGTGGTGAACACCTTCCAGTCACCTGACCAAACCATCATGGCGAGCAGTGTCGGCGGCGGCATCTTGCGCAAAGAGTGGAAGAAGTACTTGTTGGCCTTCAACGGCGTTGTGCTGGGAGTCCCTCTTGCTGTTGGTGGGGGCTTCGTGTACAACCTCCGCAATGACGAGCGATTTCGCGAGGAATTCCACGACAAGTACCCCGAGTTGGTGGAAGCCATCCACCAGTACATCCCAGTGTTTCCAGAAGAAGCCCCGCGCGACGATATTGGCGACGTCGATGCATCCATTTTCAAGCAGCCTGTTCATGCTACGGTGCAACTGAAGTCGGGTAAATCAGTCGTGTTTCAAGTTCCCTTCGACTCGTCCCTCGCCGACGTGCACAAGCTCGCTTTGGCATCGAACCCGACGGACCAAGTGTTGAAGGTGGACTTCCAGGACGATGAAACCAACGCCCCTGCTTCGGCGGCGACCCTCGCACCTTCAAAATCCAGTGGGCAGATTTCTGTCGATCTTGATTGCAACTGACCTCATGCACGTACTAGTTGCCGTGAAAGCTGCACCCGCAACAGTCGGAGGTCCCGCGTCGACATGGCCCACGACATACACCCCTCGCAACAAGCTAACGCCAACTACATCAGCCCACAACCAAGCTCGCAACCCCATTTCTGACGAGTTGAACGCCGTCCGAGCAAAGGAAGCGGCACTGCGAGCCGAACTTCACCGAGGGACCCGAGAGATCGACGCCATTGAAGCGGACCTCCGAGCTACCGAAGAATTAAAGGTCCAGCTGAAGGCCCAACTGCCGCGCAAGCGATTCTTCGGTCTGTTTTAGTCTAATACACGCAAGGAAATCCACTGTGGATCAGCGACGACGAGAGCGCATGGGGCAGGTGTTCGTACGTGCGCTGCATCTGGCGCTTTTGGCTTGTGCATCGCGGCGCCTGAATGTGGCGCGGCTTGGCCGGCGGCGACAAACCTGCAAGGGGCAGGAGGGCATGCGCGGTCTGTTGCGGTCTCGTTAAAGGAATACGACAGTGCAAGGCGAAGCAATCGCATTGCCCTCGTCTGCGTTCATGGAGGTTTCATCGAACAGTATCTCCGCCACCCGTCCTGACGCACTCATCTTGCCGACAATTGCCCCACCTTGCAAGCCACGGTGAAGCGACCACGGCAGACTTTGCCAGTGGTCACCGCGTCGGGCATCGAGCGCAACATGCCCTGCGCGGTCCCACGTCCGCATGCGGTCCATAGGACGTGCAGCACGGCGCGCCACCCTCCGTGGCTGGGCATCGTACTGCGTGCACACTGTAGTCACTTGGCGACACGACGAGCGCCGCCAGCGCCCGATGTCGGCATTTCCGTTGAAAGGCAGTTGCTAGCATTCCCGAACGACGAGGGCGGTCCACGGCCGCCGATCGATCTGATCGTGTGGCGGCGATTGAAACCAGATGCCGTTCGAGTCCCAGAAATCGTCTGTCGATGGCACGTTCGCCTTCGACCAGCTCATTCCACGACCCCCGATCGACGGCCGGCCGCTCCTTGCCGCCCAGACATCCCTTGCACATCGTTGCCACGTTTCGTTCGTGACTCGTCCTCCACCTTGTCGTCGTCGCCCTGGTATCGAATCGAGCAAGCACCTGACGCAACCAAGTCGATCGACGCCACCTCATTCCCTCGCGCACGGCGCCGGGCAACAATGCCACGCCCCCGTTTGATCTATCACAATTTCGTGCATCCTGTCGATGGCACACCCGGTCGTTCCAGCCATCACGTGACCGAGTGAATGGGTGGCGGCCTGTCCGCGCTTCCATCCTGGTGCTCTCGTTCTTTTCCACGTTGCATAACGTAGTTTCGGTCTGGTCCAACGCCCTTGAGCCAGGTGCCACCAACCCACTCGCCATCGCGCCCACCTGTCGACAACAGCCCCCAACAGCGGTCGCAAGAAGCACATCTGGGTTGGTGGGGTGGCACGCGGCCGTGCCGCAACAAGATGTTGCCATGCGCTGCATCTCTTTGGCCCACGTGCGCCGCCGATGCTTGGATCGTAGGCGACGCGGCATCGCATGGCCCGCGTGGGACGACGTCGACTCGGAACAATCTCTGCTAGCACCTGAACAACCACACACGTCGACGGCGGAGCACCCAAACCAGGATGGTCCTGGCGCGCGTGCGATACATCGCCCAAACTTGACAACTTGAGCCAACTGGTTGGTGCACTCACGCTGCTGTCCATGGTCGCCGTGACTCATGAGCGTGACAGGCTCGTTGACTCACCGCACGATCGCGACGGGTCCGTACGCGACGTAGCGAGGACACGTCGTCCCTGCGTCTTCGAGACAAGGGCCGATCCTGCTTTTTCCACCGTTGGCGAGATCGTGCAATGTTCGGGCAGCCTTGGCCCCGCGACCGCATCGGACCGCCGCCCCTCGCTTGAAACTTGTGACGCATCCCCCAGCTGCTTGCGTTCGGGAACGATTTCAAACCTGTGACATGGTCTGGATGCACGGCGACGGGGCCGGTCTCGCCGAGGTTCCGTCACTCGCCGCAACAAGATGGACATGCTTCGGGTGGACGAAGTGCCGCGAGTGGGCAGAGGCAGCAGAACGCATTCGGTCGCTCGATATTCCCAGGCAGTGTGTCGACGGGCTCGACATGGGCTGCGCCGAATCGCTCGAGTGGCTCGCCGCCTCTGCGTCGAGCACACTGATCAGAATGCAATGCCCAGCCGTCGCCGCTTCCATCCCATGCGACGCAATGCGGCGAGCGGCTTCTCTGCCCCCACAGTGGCACGCGCCGTCGGCGCTCCCTGTCGATGCTGGCCCCACCCACGAATCGAACGAATCTCCCACTCCACGCCACGTGGATCGTCGTCCCTGCGACGTCCCCATGTAGGTGCAGCTGCAAACCCGCAGCTAGCCGCGTCGGCGAGGCCGTGCGAAGAAGGCGCAGACGGATATTTGATCGAATGCTCGGGTCGACGTGCCAGTGGGCGAGCCCATGGGCGACAACGACCTCGATGGCGTCGCAAGGACACCACGATGGATCAGGTGACGGCAGAGACGACCGCAGCGGGTCCCGTCCGATGGTGACAGACGTCCCACGGCGGCGCGGGTCGCCCAAGTGGGTCGCTCGCAGAGGTCGGCCGACGGAATCCCCGATCCCGCACGTGTGGGAAGGTGTGGCCGATTGTGTGCTGGCTAGTCCCACCCAACGGGACGCGCGCGTGCCAGATGCCACGGGGTCGTCCGCGGCGAGCTGTGTGTCATGGCTGGCTCGGAACAGAGCTCCCATCCACGACATCGAGGTGGACACATTTTGACGCGGCGGGCGTTGTCTACCTGCGATGGGTTCAGCGGCGGTCTCAGCCACACGTCAACGATTGACGCTCCCACGTTGACCTGGCGATATATCAACACGCGGAAGGACGTGCGTGCGCCGGTGGTTCTAGGGGACGACGACGGACCTGCCTCGGATGTGCCTGCGAGGACCGCGTCGGCCGGCGGGCCACTCGACGGCACGGTCGGCCAAACTATGGTTGCAGTTGGCGAGGTCGAGTCGTCCCACCATGGGGTCGCTCGCTCGCGGCGCACGCAGTTCTATGGACAACTCGGATCGCGCACCCGAGTGATTCCGGTGGGCGCACCAGCTACTACTTTGTTGAGTCGAAGCGACCGAGACAAGTCGCCAGGGGGGGTGTCTCGGGAGCGGTCCGCCCCCGTCGTGCGCCACTCTTGTTCAGAGTTCTCGTTCCATGGGAGACGCACATCATGGCCATGTCCTTCGTGGGGGGCGGCGGAACCCGTGTGTACATCCAGATATGTGTGTGTGTGTCGTAGTAAACGAGAGGATTCTAAATTAATCGGGGGAGCGCGCATCGCGTGCTCCATAAATACGACAACGCGCCGCGAGCTAGCAGTCCTTGTCGAAGAGCGCCAGCAGAATCGAGACGTCTTCCGTGCTCCATGCGAGGTTGACGCCAGGCACCAAGTCGATGTCTTCGTCGAGGGAGAGTCGGCCCAGGTCGTCTTCAAAGTCATCGTCGACTGACGTCGTGGGGGTTTCTACGTCGGTGAGGGCGGCCATGGAGTCGCACACGTCGTGGTCGTCCAGGTAGTCGACAATGTCAGGGAGGGCCGGGCGCTTGGTCGAGTACGGGCTGTACCGGCCCGTGGCGCGCTTGGCGTGAAAGACCGGGCCCTTGAGCGTCGACGTTTGCTTCATCGCGAGTTGAAAAGTGAGATGCCATCGCTGCACGACGGTGCACGATGCCACTGTCAAGGCAAACCAGAACTGGGCCACTCTCGCGGTCTCCCACTCTACGCGGCGTCTGGCCACAGGTGCACGAGCAAACAGCGCTGTGTTTGTCGGGTGGTGTGACAAGCGCGGGTCGGTGATGGCCACCTGGTTGGGTTGAGCACCTCCTTTGCGACTTGGGTCTTGCTCGCGTTGTTGAACTCGGGCACACCACACGGAGAGAGTGCGTGAATTCAGCGTCGTCGCCGGCGGCGAAGGATGGGTGACCGACCACCGCGGCAAGGCTGGCTCGGCAGCGACGGCTACTGTGTGGATGCATCGTTCGACGCGCAACAGATTTTTCATGGGTGGCCCCTCGCGGCGATGGCCTTGCCGGCCCATCCACGTTGGATCCCCCGACGGAACAGGTCGTGCGACCCCAGCCTCGTTCGATTCTTGTCGATCGCCCGACGACAGCCCTCTCCAGCCCAGCACCCGCATCCAGCGCAGTCCCATCTCTCGACCAACAAAGACCGGCCACGCGACCACCGGCGCACACATCGGACGCGATCCACTACTGGATCGTGTCAACGTACTAGTAGTATGTGCTCTGCCGGACCACTACTAGTTCTTCCACATGTGGGGAGGCGCTGTGTGGATTTCGTAGTATGTACTATGTTGTCGTTCCGATATGGCGATTCCTGTCGACGGTGCTGATCTGACCAGGAGAGTTTGGGGCCGACGCATGGATGGAGGGGGGGGGCGCTCATGTATCGACGAGGGGCCGCGACGTGGTAGGTACACAAGGGTGCGTTGTTGTGTGTGTGGGGAGGTCTGGGTACACTCGGGCGCGCGAGCAATCGACATGCACCCACTGCCGCAGCGTTTGCGCGCACCAATTGTTGAGCAATCCATTCAGCGTCGGATGGATCGGCGGCGGGAGGAGGAAGCGCCGTGGCGTTGTGATTTGCTGGAACGAGCACAAGAGGGGAGATGGAATGGCTGCAGCACATTTCATGTAGGCGACGGCTGTCCGAGCAGGCGCTTGGCGCACCATCTCCGATCGAGGTTCTCTCTACATCGTTCCCCGAGACCGTTCCGAGCTGGTCTCCCCTGGCACCACACACGTTGTTTTCGTGCGTTTCGCCGGGGGTTCCCCGACTCGGGTTTTTGTCGATGTCGACACCTTGCCCAGAGTGGGTGGAGGGCACAGCGACATTCGCTTGCGCGACAACGCTGTCCAGTGGCATGCGCTCGGCGCGGTCGAAGGCGCCAGTACACGCACGTCGTGGAAGTGGACGTTGAGCCATGGCCGCCATCGTCGCGGTTGTGCCCCCCAGGTTCTCGGACAACACTTCCCCTGCCATGCGTCGCTGCGAAAGTGCAGCCTCGCTACTGTCGCCTCGGAAAATGGCCGAGATCTGCCGGCGTGAGCGGCTGGTGTACAGAGGTGGCGTCGTGGTGTGTCGGCCATGCTCTTTCGTGGCCCCTCACGCGGCCGACGAAGTACCCGCGAACAAACTTGCGCGCACCGTGTACCTGTGTCATGGATAGAGCCTGGGGCCAACTCTTGTTTCACCCGCGCGACCTCGCACGCGGAGTCTCATGGTACGTCGACAGCAGCGTGCGAGGATGCGCTGGGTAGATGGGGAGAATCGATGGAAGCATCGCGGAGGGGGGGGGGCTTTGTAGATAGTACGTGCGCTCTCCCCCCTGGAGCACGTGGTGGGAAGCAGGCGCGCGCGGAAACACTTGGCGCCGACGTGCCCCCTACTCAGTCGACGAGACGAACGAATCCAAGAGATTCCTGCGACCCATTTCCGCCCGAGATGATAGATGCTCGTCGTGGCCGTTGAACTTCAACCGGGCCACGGCACCGAGGCGCTTCGTCGCAGGTGCAAAGTGGGACGGGTTTGCAGGGTACAGAGCGCACACTCGGTTCGGCCTGACTCGGTGCCCACGTGTTTTTCTGGCCGCGGTCGCAGCGCCTTCGAAGCCCCATGGCCGCAGCGCCTAACTACAGCAGCTATCTCCCTCGCGTTTTTTCAAGAAGGTCGCAAGAGGCGCCGCATGTTGGGAGCGAGCAGCTCGTCTCGGCACCGGCCCCTCCTTGCCACAGACTCGGAATTCTCGGCGCCGACTGTGGGACCGCCGCCACGACCGCGATGACGGGGCTGGCCGATTCCATTCGATACATACATCTGCACCGGACATGGCGCACGACCGACCACACGACAGGAAGCAAGTGCATCTCTTGGCACTTCTCCAACTCGTGCCCACCTGGTCGGACGACGGCTGCATCGTGCCCATCTCCCCCACAGCCATCGTTGAATGTTTGCTTGGCCCTTGTTGGGCGGCTGATGTCGTGGTGTGTGCCGTGCTGCTGTGCTACCTACCTGGGTATGGGCCACCTCCGTCCGGCTGAATGGCGCTGCACCGCGGCAAGATGCCCAAGCAGCTGCACGCACGGACATGCCTGCCCGACCACGAGCCTTCATGGACACACATGGTCCTGTATGATGTCCGCTGGAAAGCGCCCCCAGTGGCGGAGGTGTGCGATCTGTCGGGCGCTTGGCATCCACCGCCGATGGATTTCGGGGAGTGAATTAAGAATCACACTATTTAAGAACTTATGGAATTCCGTAGTCTTACAGTAATTAAGTGTAAGTTGGAATTGCGCGCGCACTCGATCGGCGCCACCGCCACGACAGCAGCGCGGAAGGAGGGACGTGGTTGACGTGGCAACGCAGGTGACGCGAAGTCCATGAGAACTCGCCATAAATACGGCTCTATTCAGGAGAAGAGAGTGTGTCGTCGCCGCTACATTCGATAGAGGTCGTGTCGCAGTTGCGCGAGGGCGGTCAAGAGGGTATGCTACACGCGCCAACGAGGTGAGGTTTCGTTGGAAGGAGGGAGATATGTGATCGATGCGTACCTTGAGTGAAGGAGACAGTGACGCGTCAAACTCGTCTTCGGTCAAGAAGGCAATGCTGCCAAGTGTATTGTACCCGCGCTTCTCCAGTGACCGACCGAACTCGACAAGATCTGGACTGCGTACGCTCATCCAGTGAATGACTTCGCCTTCCTTGTACACTGCCCACAAACGGTTGTTGGCGCCAGTTACGACCAGCCAAGCGTACCTGAGTTGACCACTTTGGCCTGTTCCTTGGCTGCATCGATCCGCATGCGGATTTTGTTCGGACTGCAGCTCAACGGCGACGCCGTCGCTCCTGCCTGCGCCGATTCACGATGGACTTCATCCATGTCCAAGGCAAACTTAGCCGACACGATACTTGGCATGTTGCTCGACCTTCCTGCGAGCTCCAAATGTGGCCGATGTTGGGGGCCAACTGACGCGAGTATTTTTAGCATCCACCTCGTTTTGTTACCTATTCGCATGGAATGCTGCTTGGCTAAACCAGTAGAGAGCGATTCTCCACGATGGCCGTTCGCCATGATCCGCAGAGACTTGGGGACCTGCTCGTGTTGGAATGCTCAAAGAGTGGACAACCAGGGTTCATGCATCCGCGCGCGGATAAAGCAAGGAGGAATAAGAGTTCTTCGTTATGATTTCGCATGCAACAGCGAGCCTGTCGCTTAGATGTCGTCAAACTCAAACCCGCAGTCGTCGTCGTCACCGGCCCCGTCCATATCGACACTGGTTTCGTTGATACGCGCGTTGTCGGGCAGTTCGCCGTACGCTTTCAAGCTGCGTGCTTCGTCCGCGTTGTACTTGTGGATGATATCGACCTTGCCGTCTTGGTATTCGCGCAACGACACCAACACGATGTCGCCGACGCCGACCCACACCTTCTTGCGCATCTTACCGCGAATGTGTCCGAGACGGGTCACCCCGTCGTAACAGTACGCTTCCAAGCGACCGTTCCCCAACATGCGCAATACTTGGGCGTATTCTACACGCGTCGAACGGTTTAGGGCAAAATCCAACAACCAGGCATGCCATGACCACAACGTTCTTTACCTTGTCCATCTTCCTTGAACTCCAATTCGCGCTTGTTTTCTTCGACATCGCCCTTCCCTCGGCGCCGGTTCTTGCCGCCCTTGCCCTTGGCCTTGTTTGCCGACGACATCTTCAAATGAACGGAATTCCCCGCCCACCACCAATTGCCCTCTTTCTATTTTCAACGGGCGTCGGCGATTGGTTGAACTTTAATGACATTGCATACAAATCCAAAGAGATAATAAAATATGAAATATATGGACCTGCACTCGCGACTGAATTCGACGTTTAACGAATATAACGGGAATTCTCGAAACGTTAAATAGTTTGATTTGCCAACGTATCGGTTGCAAATATCTGGGGCGGGAGAATGTTTGTCTTGGCCACACGAACGAGATCCACCTCGAGCACACGACCCCAGCAGCCGGACTGGCATGTCGTTGCCAAGGTCAAGTAGCCCGCAGCGAACGAAAGGGCATGGCATCTAAGCCCTGATGGGATTTGTTGTGACATTGTGCGGGCGGCAGCTGGTGTGCGCAGGTTAAGCCACCCAGGGCTCCTCCGACCCGTGGTGCCAGCATCTCCTGCATTCTTTCAACAATGCACCGGCTCAATTCGCATACGAGTCTGTCCATGCTTAGATGCTAGCAGTGCACTGTCGAAACGAAACATGAAGTCGTTTTGGGGCTTAAAATAGCAGCCGACCGTGCTTCGATTCTGCCGCAGCCGAGCGGAGCACCCACGGCAAAAGTCTGTGCAGGCAGACCGGCCATGGGCGTCGTGTATGTGCACTCAGAGGCTCACTGCGCGTCGTCGACGTGCTTGCTGGTGGACATGTGGCTCTTGGTTGGGCTCGTGTTCACCGTCATCGTCGGCTACATTCTCGTCCTTTTTGCACGGAGGTGCATCGCCAACTTCCTGAGGCGGCGACACAAGGTCGAAGTGGACCTGACAAGCCGCAACAACGAGAGCATGATTCGAAAAGACGTTGACCAGGCCCAGATTCAGAGCCGCAAGAACACAGCCAAGTCGGGCCACCAGTTTCTGGAGGCCCGCAACGGGATTGCCAGCTTTTTAGGAAAGAAGAAGCGGAAAATGACGTACAACAATTTGCCTTTCAGCGGTTCGGCTTGGCCTGATGGCACTTTTCACAGGACCAAGACACTGCGCGCTGAAGACATGTTCCAACAGCCAACGTACGAGGAGAAAGCAGTCATGGCGGTCGCACCATCCGATATGCGTGTGAAGCAAGAAGAGGACAAGTTGCGCAAACTCACCACCATGCGACGGTTCGTTCCCGTGTTTGGGCTGCTCCCACGTGCGATTACGTTTAGCGTGAGCATGACGGCGCAGTCGAACGTGAGCTTCAAGGTCGCAGACAACGTCTTCGCATCCGTGTACGAAGTCAAGCTGCCCGAAGTGCACTTGGTCAAGCAGTTGGCGATCGGTCCTTTCTCCGAAGTGTACGCGGGAGTGTGGCGTGGGACCAAGGTGACGTGGTGTCGCATGTGTTGACTTTCCATACAAACTCGAAATGAAACCAGGTCGGGGTCAAGCTGCTCATGCCCAAAGAAACGTACCAGGAGGGCGTCGCGGAAGCCGTCAAGAACTTTCGGCGAGAGATTTGGGTCATGAGCCGACTCGACCACCCGAACGTTCTCCAGCTCATCGGGGCCAGCTTGACGTCGAGCTGCTACGTCTTGATCATGGAGTACATGGCGAATGGTACGATGACAACGCACCGACGACCGCGTCACGGCGACGATCGTGTAGGGTCGCTCTACGAGTACCTGCGCGACGCCAAGAACATCGTTCCACTCCAGTTGATTTTACACAGCGCACAAGATATTGTCCGCGGCATGCTACACGTTCACGACCATGACATCCTGCAGGTGCGAACGCCGTTGTCAAAACTTGGCTCACACGGGTCGTGGTTGTAGCGGGATTTGAAAACCAAGAACCTCCTCGTATCCGACCACTTGGTCGTGAAAGTATCGGACTTTGGGCTGTCCCGTTATAAGGACAAGATGTACGGCGAATACACGTTTGTCGGGACCCCGTTTTGGTAAGGTTGGCGCGTCGCTGGTGCAATATGACGACTCGTCGCCGGCGGTAGGGCTGCTCCTGAAGTCATCCGGCACGATAACTACACGGAAAAGGCCGACGTTTACAGGTGTGTGTGTGTGTTGATCGTGTGCCCGATCGTACCGCGCGCTTGTGTCTGTAGCTTTGGAGTGGTTTTGTGGGAGCTCATCGAGCGGACGGACCCGTATGTTGGCATGAATCCGCTGCAAGTTCCGCTCTTGGTGTGCCAGGAGGGCCTTCGGCCGTCGCCGTTTCGAAACCCGGCGCCAGAGACCTACGTGGCTCTCATGAAAGAGTGCTGGGATGGTGACATGGACAAGCGGCCGAGCTTTTCAGACATTTACCAGCGGCTGCATGCAATCTCGGTGCAGTACCAGCAGCAAACAGACGTCGTTGTATGGACGATTCCGCCGTTGGGAGCGACCATCGACATGACGCGTCGTTGTAGGTGGCGCCCCTGGCGACCGAAAAACTGAGCGACTTGGCCGCTCACGTCAACCACGCGAGGCGGCGAGCGAGTGTTGTGGGGAAGCACGACTTTGAGTGCTCCCACGAGGCAATGATCAAGAAGATTCCGATCAAGCAAAGCCGATCCAAGACCGGCAGTACCCTTGTCACGGCCGACCAGATTAAAGTGCTGCGGAGTATGTACAAGGGCAGCAAACGGTAGAATGCAGCAACCATACAATAGAACCACGTAGCCTTCACTCGTATGGTCGGCGGATGTCATGACCACACCGCTGGGAACGTGCCATGGCGGCAGCAGGATGGCTCAGGGCCTCCCGGACCGTGCATTCTCCTCGTTTGAAGCGGATCTGGCAAGCGCTGACGCGAAAAGCACCACCCAAATCAGCGGGAATGCGACGCTATCGCTGGCGCAGCGCCGGTTGCAAGGATGCTGTTACTGACAGCATTACCATCCTGGATTGCCCGTGAGAAACACCAACTGAATCCTTCTTTGTATCCATGGGCGCCGCCGTCATGGAGAAGACTGTGGCTGTGACTCGTAAAAGTTGCAATATTTTTGGTATGCGACGTCAAGTCAGGGTGATGGCTACTGCCTAGTGTGGCGTGATGTACTGCCGTAGAAGGAGATGTCGAGCAGCACGCACCACCCTCGCTACATGTGCAGAAGCGCAAAAAGGGACAAGAGGGAAGAGGGACAGTAGTGCGCGGATATGATGATTCGGTGCAATTATGGGATCTTTTTTTCCACGACAGCAGTTCCAGACGGGTCCGTGCCGAAGATTTCAATGTGCTGAACCTTGGGCATCCCCCATGACGTGGTGGACGTGACGAACACGCGGTTCAATTTGCACCCGGCAACGCCGTTGATGTCAGTGTGGGCAATTGGCTTGCCGTCGACGAGGGCAAGTTCGATCGTCTTGTCAGGGAGCGACGCCAACACGACCTTGAACACACCGGCCTTGCCTTCCCAGGGCGTCACGGTGACACCGTACGCAGTGTTGCGCTCAATCATGTTGAGGCCTTCGCGGCCGACGGGGTTGTTTTCAAACATGATCCAGTCCACGGTCAACGGTTCCTTGGCATCAATCGCACCGTTAGCGTGGTTCACAGCGTAGCTCACGACGTTCTTGTTCTTGTTGCGGTGGATGGCAAAGACTACGTTGGGCTCATGGTTGGTGCGGATGTGTTCCACAGGGTCGTGTTCAACTTTGGCGTAGTCGGCCATCTTGTCGTGTCGGTCGTGTCGGGAAAGTGTCCAAAGGGAAAATGGCTGCGGACAAGCTTTGTGGGGCGAATCCGGATGCCTATACGGATATCGGAGCGTTTCACCCCTACAGTACTATTTTTAGGGTGGCCGATTGGGTATAACGTGGTACGTTATACCGTTTATACCGTTTACCCGATCTATGTTGCGTGGAGAAAACCAAAGGGCGATTCCCGAAACTCCGTCCTAGCCCTGATCCACCCGCAGCTAAGAGCTGAGGGACGACATCTCCAAAAAGAATCGTTAAGAGTGACCGTTCATGCCACTGGGATGTTTTCTCGAATACTACAAACCTTTACACCCCTGCATCCACCAAGCAGCAGAGTGCCACGTGGAGACATGCGCCCTACCAAGTACCCAAATAACAGACAGACTGTCCTGCCACAAGGACGTTGAAGTTGCTTTGGTCCTCCATGCTGATGGACACCCGGCCCTCCATTTTGGCCGGCGCGTGATCTGCTTGGGCCTTGTATCAAGCGTCAACGACACTAAATCGAGAAGCACGCCCGCGATGAAGCTGCCTGAGAAAGGAGAGAGGTGCAAAGCGGCCCCTTCTGTTGATGGAGGATGTCGTTATTCATTATCCGGATGATCGAGGTGTTATCCGGTTTTCCGACAGGTTGCAATGTTTGTGCAGCCGCGCCGCGTCGGCACCGACTTTAGCGGCTACGCGGTGAGTGCTGGAGATGGCCGTGCGAATGAATATTCATGGATCGTACGAGGAGCTAGGTGGAGTTCAGTCCGTTCCATGAACACTGGGTGGCTGTGGGCACGGCGCAATATTTTGGCATCATTGGGAATGGCCAAGCAGTGGCGATGGAGCTGATGCCGGACGGGTCCCTTGCCACGGTATCACTGTCTCCTCCTCGACGAGCCTGGCGCAAGTTGAAAAGAATTTGGCACGATGATTAGATGCGGTCCTTTGACACTCAAGACGGTGTGTATGACATTGCATGGAGCGAGATGCACCCAAATCAACTTGTTGCGGGGTGCGCGAACGGCCATCTCAAGCTGTTCGACGTGACAACGCGCGACAGCTTTCCCATTCAGAGCTTCGCCGAGCATACGCAGGAAGTGAGCGGTGTGAATTGGAACCTCGTGGACCGGCAAACGTTCGTATCGGCGTCATGGGACCATTCGATCAAAGTGTGGCATCCGCACCATCCCACGTCATTGCAAACCCTGCATGGGCATACTGGACCAGTACGACCCACGCACGCTTTTGCGATGTTTGCAAGCACTTCACTCGTGAATCGCTCCTGCTTTCTATACACAAAGTTCCTGTGTGCCATGCTCCGACGTGCCGTTTGACGATCTGTCTCTGCTTCTTTCGTTCAACCTCGTTTCATGGAGCTGCATTTCCGCTTGGGCATGAGTCTAGTGTGCGTTGTACACGCTACAAGGAATCGGCGATCTCCATGGCCTGCGCTGTCGTGCACCCGCTTCGTCCCCATCCGTTGGCCCGCGTGGCTAACCCTGCTTGCCTAGGTCTACAATGCAGTGTGGTCGACGCGAGAAGCGTCGCACGTGGCGTCGTGCTCTGGCGATGGGTCCGTGCGAGTCTGGGACCTCAAGGTTCCTGGCCAAGCGGTGTGCCACATCGCCGCGCATGCCCACGACGTGCTGGCGTTGGACTGGAACAAGTACAGCCCGTACGAGGTCGTGTCGGGGTCCGCCGACGCGTCGCTGAAAGTTTGGGTCGGTCATGACGTGGCACATCCATCGATCGATCACTCTGTGTCCACAGGACATTCGAAACGTATCGGCGGAGGTGCGCCACCTGCGAGGCCATCAATACGCTGTCCGCCGCATCAAATGCTCGCCACACGATCGGCACGTTGTCGGATCAGCGTCGCTCGATATGTCGGTGCGCCTATGGAACACCCAAGCCGTCCATCCCCACATGGTACGACCGTGAGTACATCCTGGGAGGTCAAATCCGACCCTGTCGCGATAGCAATGCGCCACCCACCACACAGAATTTGTCCTCGGCCTCGACTTTAGCCTGTTTGCACCTGGTACGTCGACGTACAGCTCCCTTTCGTCGCGCTCACTATTCACCAACTGTAGGGCTCGTCGCGTCCTGCTCGTGGGACCGCTCCATCGTGATGTGGAACCACAGGGGGGGGCCGCCGCCGCGGGCCGTCTAGTCGAGCGAGTACACCATGCAATGCACCTCTGACGTTCACGTCCTCCGCCTCCTCCGTACCCATTTGGCACGATGGGCTGGTCGATGATGGCGCGCCATCGCATGGCGTTGGCGCCTCCAGACCTGCCTCGAACATCCCATGGCGCCTCGCCCGCTCGATGAGGGATTGTAAACCACACTCGCCACGCCGCAGGGACATCGGATTGTGCATGAAAATCATGCGGGAGGTCTCTAGGCAGAGAAACCAGTTTGTTCCCGATCGTGCCAATGCAACATGTTCGATCGTGACGACCGAATTCACTGCGTCGCATGGTTGGCTCGGTGGCGGTCTGTGGCACGAGGCCATTGCTGAGCTCCCAGTGCACGACCGCGCGCCGCGGGACCGGAGCAACAGCCAGCGAAGCCTGTGCAATGCATTATCGATACTTGGATTCATCCTTCGGCGTCGAGCTTGGGCTCGTATTGAAATATGTCGACACAGGCAGCCCACAACCGATCGAGGTCGGCGTCCGAGTAGCCCGTCCCACTGAGCGGCATTTCTGTCGCCACTGGCTCGCGGTCAAGGTAAAACAATCCCGACGCTTCGCCGCCATTCCTGGATGCACACAGCCACGACGCGGTGTCTGCCGCCTGCTGGGCATCGCGCATGAGGTGGCGGTGGCGCTTCGTAAAACCTTCCAGGGCTTTTTCCGTGCCGTTCGTGACGGCCCAGCCAGGATTCATAGCGTGGAATGCCACATTCGTCGTCGCCAGGGGAAATCGTCGGGCAAACTGCCGGGTCAAGGCAACTTGGCACTTTTTCGCCTGGGCGTACGCCATTGTCCCGTCGAATTTGCCAGAGTACGAGGGCCCCACGCCGCGGACGTCGTTCAGATCGAGCGACACCAAGTACTGCCCTCCGCTAGACATGTTGACTACGCGCCCGACATCCGGGGCCTTTCGAAGCAGCGGCAGCAGACGTGCCGTCAAGAGGTACGTGCCGAGCAGCGCCACGGCGCGACTGCTTTCAATGTTGTCTTCTGTGATGACGCGCTTGTCCATGAGCATGCCTGCGTTGTTTACAAGCCCATGCAGGACGTCGACTTCGGCGGCAAACGTATCGGCGAATCTGTGCACTTCTGAGATCTTGCTCAAGTCTGCAATGTGCAAGTGCACGTAGTTGGCATCGCGCGCGAGCTTGACCACGTCCTGCTTGGCAGCTTCGCCGCGGTCTGGGTTGCGGCACACCATGTGCACATGCGCGCCCGCGGCGGCGAGCTGCTCCGCGACAGCCTTGCCAATGCCGCTGTTGGCCCCAGTCACGACGAAGTGGTGTTCCGACAGGTTTTTCTCCTCTGCGGGGTGCTTCGAGTGCTTGGCCAGCATCTGCTCGTACCCACGGACGCCGTAGCGCGACCGTCCTTGAAAATACCACTGCACAGACGCCAGAATCGAGTACGACATGCCGCCGATGTTGGAATATGGCACTCCATGCACTTGTCCCCGCCGGTGGAAGCCCCGAGAAGTCCGTTCTACAGTGAGGAGTGTATGTAAATCGAGAACAACATTCCGAATTGAACACAAGCCTTCGAGCGGATCGGCGCATGAGCCATCGCAGCAGCAGCAGCAGTCGGGGCCGTCGCAACTCATGCGCGCGCGTTCGAAGCGCCTCTGGCAACGGTCGAATGAGAGCTGGGGGCCACGCACATACATACTCTCTATAACCATGCAAAGCTCCATCCTTTGCGCGTGCTGTCAAGGCACCGTCGAGACGCAACATGCAGAGGTGCGATCGGTTGTCCCAGAGCGCCCCTCCAAAGCAGGCAGAAATCAAGCGTCCGGTGGCGAATGATTCTACTCCTGCCTCTTGCAAGGCGGCAGCTCCCTCGTGGTCAACCTGGCATTATGCTCGGTCTCAGGTGCCAAAACACAATGAATGAGTAGTCTACGTGGCCCCGTTCGACGGTCGCTAGAAATACTTCGAACGCGCATGGGTTGCAACACGTCCGACTGCTGCTGCGATAGCTCATGCGCACCTCGATCCGCGGCGCCACACGAGTCAATGTTCTGGTGGTCCTCGTACGTTGCCGGATTTTGCTGTCGACTCGTGACCGAGTTGCAGTCGCGCATATTCTATCAGGACTTGAAATGGAGTGCGAAATAGGCCGAAACCGCTCACGAAACAACTTACCACGGCATCGCGCGCTGTCCCTGCCAGGGACCAACAGAAGACACCAGACTCGGTGCTGCCGCCCCCACCCTGGACACCGTTCCTCTGTATGCAGCTACGACGTGCGCGTTTGCATCACCCCTCGCTGCGCAAAGACAACATCGCGCGACCAACAGCACCCGAATCCACTGAAGACATTATTTTGAGCGAAACGTATCTGAGAAAAAATCCCGGAATAAATCCGGTGGGCGTTCGTGAAAAATCCACGTAAAATCAAGTCATCGGGTATTTCAATAATTTTTGGAGTTTTTGTTTTCGCCAAGCTGTCCAAGAGCATGAGGGGACACAACACGAGCTGGTACAGTCCACACTGGCGCTCACGTCGAAGCGGTCGCGTGTTGTAGGGATCGACTGCTTTGCCATGCCGACATGAAAGGAGTCGACACGATCCAAACAGCGCGCGCACTTACCATCGAGCACGCTCCCGCCTCGAGCAACCCCATGCGATCGAGGCCGACGACGACGGTGGAACTGACACACTGGACCCCACCACGTCCAAAGGGACAGCAGCATCTCGAAATACCAGCACAGGACGACCATGTTAAGGTTCACGTGGTGTTCGTCACAATAACCAAAGGCCATCCAGGTCGACACTTGACACCTCGACGGAATCGTCGCACACGTCGCGAAGGCCCATCATGCCCATAAATATAAAGATCTCTTCCGGAAGGAAATCGACTGTCGCCGGCGGCGTGTCCACCTTGACTGGCGGCGTGCCGTGGCGTGGGACGAGCAGGGTCGACGTGTGCACGTTGCGCGCCGCTTGCTTTCGTAGGGCCATGACGCGCTTGAGCTGGCGCATCTTTGTGTCGGATTTACATTGAATCTTGTTGTGGCGGACGCGGTGGGCTTCGCACAGCGTGTGGGGCTCGCCCGTGCGTTTGAGTGTGCGTTCGTTGGGGCACCGACCTCCCTTGTACTGGCATGGACCGCGATAAGGACGAGGGACCACGGGAAAGCTTGGCTGCGTGGGTGTGGTCATGTTGACCCGGGGGGGATGTTTCAAGAGTGCGCGCGCGAGTTCCGTGCCGTGGGTGGTTCGTACGACAATTTTCGACACTTCCAGTGGATTTTCCTCCAAGTGACAATGGACAAAAAAATCCAGCAAAGTTTTTTTCGTCTTTGATCGCATCGACGACGCACGCGATTCCTTGACATCGCCGTTTGGTGGCGATTGTGGACGGCACGTAGCTGCAGTGGTGTCGGGGCCAGTGGCTGAGCTAACAACGCCGCTGTTTTCTCGTGATACGTAGCTCCATCAACATAAAGAGGATGTCCAACGCGACCTGGCCTGTTGGCATGTGCGTGGAAATCCCTGCTCTTCTTGGCTCGTTCACATTTGCATGGACCGTTCAGTGGAATGCCACCATGGATGGGGCGTACGGAGACGAAACTCCAGGCTCGTCATGCCGCCGACGCTGACGAATCCCTTACCCTTGAACGCAGGAAAACTGGTGAAGGGGGCGCAGACGCCACTTGCACGACCACCCAACCGTGGCTCAAGATGCCGCAAACATGTTGCGAAGGACTGTCGGGAGAAGGCTGGGACGTACATGTTGACTTCTCGCGTGTGGTGGTTTGGCTTCATGCTCGCGAGACGTGCCCAGCGCAACGACTCGCGTTTGATTCTGCTCTTGACCGTGTTGGGTGTGCAGAGCGACCCGCCCCTCGTTTGCGACGAGTTCACCATGCGAAATTCGAGACTCCTGTACACTCCAGCCCTGCACAACACCTCATGACGTTCACGACACTGCGGCCATGACGATGACTGCGTTCTTGCGACGTCGCTCGCGCCATACAGGAAACCCATCTTGCATCAACATGACGTGCTCTTAGCACCGCGCCGTCGCCCTCGCTTGTCGATGGCGCCACGTCCGCCATCCAAAAAAATAGACGGCATCAGTCTAGGCATCTATTTTCATTTCCTCAAAAACCCGCCAGGGCCAGCCCACTTTTTCTCCATCGGTTTTAGGATCTGAAAACTGCACAGCAGCGACTCATCGAGCACCATGATCGCGCCGGCATTGTTGAATTCGCCGCAATAGTTAGGCGCGCTGAAGATCGTGACGACCTTTCGCCCGCCAAAGAATTCGTACCCGTCTTCGACGACTTGGTGGGCGCGGCAGATCATGTCCAGGTCATGCCGCTTGAGGAATTGCACGACCACATCCACTCCAAATGTGTAGCTGATCCCGCGATCGTTTTCACCCCAACCGAGGATGTTCGCCTCGGGGTCGCTCCACAAGAGGTCGGCGAGAAGCCCGGTCTCGGGCATAGGCGCAGGACGTGCCAGTCGCGCGATCTGTTGCATATCTTGGAGTTCCGGTGACAGCCCACCGTGCATGCAAAAGATGCTCTGCTCGACGATGGCTGCGACGGGAAGGCAGTCGAAGCTGTCGCAGAACATCTTCCACAGCTTAACGTTGTACCGACGCTTGCATTCGTCGTGAAATCCGTACAACCGATTCACGGACGAGTCTTCGTGGTTCCCACGCAAGAGAAAAAACTTGTCGGGGTACTTGATCTTGTACGCCAAGAGCAGCGCGATCGTTTCAATGCTTTGCTTGCCGCGGTCGACGTAGTCGCCGAGAAAAAGGTAATTGGACTGGGGAGGAAACCCGCCATACTGAAACAGGCTGAGCAGATCAAAGTACTGCCCGTGCAAGTCGCCACAGATTTTGATGGGAGCGTCCAGTTCAAGCAGCATCGGTTGCGCCATAAAGCACTTCTTCGATTGCACGCACAGGAAGCGTAACTCTTCCTCCAGCAGGTTCACCTGTTTCCCCGGCCGCGCGCCCCGCACGCTAAGCAGCTTGTCGACAATCACGTCGACGTTCACTTGGTCGGACGCCATGATGACGTTCGATTGTCGGACGGATGAGAGTCAGCGAAATGGGTGTAGCCGCGTCATCCCATTGGCTATCTTCCACTATTTTTAGCCAATCCAATTGCATCTCTCCATAGCAAGACACACGTTCATCATTCTCTGCATTTTCGTTTGGTTAAAAAACGAAATGTAGAAACGGGCACATTGGCGACGACGGCCCGTTGTGTCGCCGCAGCCGTTGTGCGGCCGTGGGATGCGGTGGTGGTGGGAGGAGCGCTGCATGGCAAGCTCGCGCACGCACGAAACGCTGGCGTTTGGCGCTGCTTCCTGCGAGAACGTGCACGCTATATGCCCTCGTGCTTCATGGGGGTTTCGTTTGGCTTTGTGGCCGGCCGCGACGAACGTTAATTTGTGAAACCACGCGTCGACTGCTTTGGACGGTCTCGATCTCCAAACGGTGGTGTTGAGCTCACAATGATTCACGTCTCGATCATTACGTTGTGGATAAGCTTGGTGTCGATATCATGCGTGTGGGGGTTGACACCTGTGGTGGTCACCCTTGGCGACTCCCTCACCGAGTACGGCGGCGACGCAGGCGACTCCGGATGGGTTTGGATGCTCAGTCAAGACTACCGGGACAAGGCTCGTGTTGTCAATTGGGGCCACGCAGGCTGGAACACTCAGCAATGGGTACCCGAAGTTTCCTTCGTGATCGATTCATTTCGCGGCAAAGAGCCTCCCGTTCTGTTTACGCTCTTTCTTGGCGCGAACGATTGTGCACTAGACCAGTACACACCTCCGCATGTCCCCCTGGCACAGTACCAAACCAACCTTGAATCGATTGTTCTCGCGCTGCAAAGCGCGTTTCCAGCGTCGGCAATCTTACTCATCACGCCTCCCTCCGTGGACGATATCTTGTTGGCTCAATATCGATCGAACGCCAGAACCGGGGCGTATGCCGCTGCATGCATTGCCCTCGGTACGCGCTCGTCAACTTGCTCCTCGCGTTCCCTTCATTGTGTCGTAGGGAAACAAATGAACATACCTGTCGTGGACCTGTGGACGCCAACTCGACACCGAGTGACGACGTTACTCAAAGACGGCATACATTTCAACCGCGAAGGCAATATTGTCGTACATGAAATCATCACCGCTGCGATCGAAGACAACTTTCCCATGCTCATGCCATGGACGATTTCACATCTCGGTGTCCCGTTCTAGTAAGCTGACTCAATGCGCTGCGTGACGGCGGAAAAGCACCGCTGCTTCCTTCGCGGTCGGTCCAGCGACGCTCGCATTGCCCTTGTGAGAATGTGGCATCGCAAGAGGTCTCTTCTATCGGGGTCTCGTTCGCTAGATATCGGGAAAATCCGGATAATTAACGGATGTTCCTACATTGTGGCTCGTGGATGATTGCAACGACATGAGCGTGACGAAGAAGGGGATCTGGACCGAGCACGTGGACGCGGCATCAGGGGTATGGTATCGCGAGTGGACACTTCCACGGATCATCATGCGTCTTTGACTTGTAGCGCACCTATTACTTTAATGTCGTGCATGGACGAAGTTACTGGGAATTGACAGAGGACCTGAGAGCAGTCGTCATGAGGCCGCTGCGCGAAGCTGTCGTCGCAGAGGACGACGACCCAGCGGAAGATGAAACTGCAACGCAGCATACGCATGAAGAACCCACGTCTTCCGACGGACCGTCTCGTGCAGCTGCTCTCGCGACGTATGTCAATCTACATGCCGCCGATTCATTTTCAAATCGAATTCAAATGGCGATGAAACACCAAGAAGAGCAACGACGGCGCGAGCAAGAATGAAAGTAGTAGACAACGCTCATAACAAGCATTGCCTTGATAAGTTGAAGGCGCATGCGACGTTAAACGATTTATCGCTTCATGTCGACGTAGGTGGCATCATGGAAGGCGCCATCAGCGTACTCCCCGTGTGCCTTCGATGGGGATTCGACTAGAAAATATACAACCACGTTGTCAAGACTTGGGCATTGTGATTCCATACCTTATACTGGCGCAACCGATCGTCAAACGAAGTCGGTGGTTGCGGGGTGTCGCTTGCCGCGGGAGTCGGTTTCGCAGGGTTCAGATCGAGAAGTTCACGGATGAATGAGATTTTCGAGAGCAGGAACTTCCATACTGTGATCCACCCCACTGACAATGTCACAAGCAGGATGCCGATGGCGCCGAGGACGTACGCGCCACGAGTCACATACTCGTCCATTATCCAGGGTCGATCTTCTGTTGAGAATGCAAATTAAACCTCCCGTGACATTCAATATCAACTTGAGCAAGGGACTTTTCATCCAATCAAATTCATCACTTCTCAAATATTCAATTCTTTTAGCCAATTAAATGTGTCATCCATGTGTTTAGGGAACACCAACATCGCGAATGGGCATCATGGGATTGGCTATAATTCGCTACCCTTTCTTCACACTAGTTAAAAACCGCCTTCGCGCAACGACAAGCTTGAATTTGTGGAAAAAAAGGCGCTGCTCCGTTCCATTGCTGCAGTTCGTTTACACGAATTGACGCCGCCACATTGTGGGTTTGATTGGAAACAGCGGTGCAATCGCTCCATCGGAAATCGCCCACTCCAAAAATAGTGTTAGATCTGTTTTGAGTGGATAATAATCAGCGAATCCAAGCCAAGAATTCAATGCATTGCAGAGGTGGGGAAACGGGCTCCCATTTTTGGGTTCTTTCCCCCTCTTGAAACGTTGGGATCATGCTGCCCAACATGCCACCGAATACTGTTGTCCGCGGCGCAAACGCTGCGGCGGTGGCGGCGGCGCAGCAACAGCAGCAGCAACATGCGTACCAGCAACAGCAGCAGTCGTACGAGCACGTTCAATTCGACCAGCATGCTCAGCAACAGCAATACCACTACGACCAACAACAACAGCAACAACAACAATTTGCGCATTTACAAGCCGCATACGATCAAGCTGCTGCGGCGGCGGCGGCCGCTGCGGCTGTTACATCCTCAAGCCAGCAGTCGCAAGCCCCGTCGCCGTCGTTTGAAGACGATGCCCCGCCATCTCCTCCATCGCAATCGTTCGAGTCTGCCTACGGCGCACCGCCATTGGAAGCGTTCTCAATGGGCACAGTTCAGCACGATCCAAAGCCACCGGCAAAGCGAAAGGGGGCTTTTCGCCAGGAACATGCGATCAAATATGGCCTCAAGGTCGTTGGACCGACGTCGGGTCCCGTTACCAAAGTGCAGTGCATGTTCTGCGTACACTACGGCCGCGAGGCGTCGGCGGACGACACGAAGCGGAAGATGAACGTGAAAGGCATCAAATACTGGACTCCTCCATTCCGCACGGATCACTATGCTATGCACCATGACCTCCAACACAAAGTCATGTTTCAGCACTACGAAAACGCATCGTCGCAGGAGCGTTTGCACTTCTTCGAACCTGATACGGTGCATCGGTTGCGGCACTTGGTGCCCAAGGTCACGCCGTCGTCGTCGTCGCTCGATAACTTGGACAAAGCCAAGGACACCAAGATGAAGCGCGGGAAGACATCCGGATCACACTCCCGTGTCGACCCGGCGCCGACAAAACCGTCGCTTGATCCGTTCAAGATGATGCTTCCGCCGACAGAGATTCCCCATGACATGCAGACACTCGTGGATATTTACGTCGGACATCATTACACGCCGCTCGAAGAAAAGTGGAAAGCGCTCACAACCGTCGCATCGCTGGTGGCGCAACATGTCCGCAATGGGTTCCTCGAAACGCATATCCGACGCGCACTGGTAGCTGGTGCAACCAAGTCCGAGATTGTCCAGGTGATCATGCAGTCAGCTTCGTTCATTGGCCTTCCCAAGACCATGGATGCGATGAAGGTTGCTCACGACGTGTTTCTGCAAGGGACCGCCGACAGCCAGAACCAAAACACTGTCTTCTTGTAGTGATATGTCACGTAGTGTTACCGTGCGTCGATCAGGGGCACTTCTTCCACTGGCATGCTCATGCATTGCGGCGGAAGTGCTGTGCTCGCGCCGGGCATGGTGTCGTGTGGGGGAAAATTTAAATATCTAATGTTGATTGGTCAATTTCAAATAAATGGAGTAGATTATATCCAATCAAATCGAGGTACACGGGAGGGAGGGAGGATTTCGTGTATATAGTCGACCGCTAGGCTTGAGATGTCGGCGGCGATGGACGTGCAGGCGATGCTGGCACAGATACAGGAGAATCACCAGGCTGCGCTGCGTGCTCTGTCAATACAAGTTCACACGCTTCGAGACACATGCGACCTCCAAGAGAAAGAGATCGAACTCTTACGACAAGCCCATACCAAGGACAACACGAAAGCGCTCCTTGAGCGCATGCTGTTTCGACGACTGCTCGAAGATGCTCGCACCACAGTCAGCTCCCTAGGTGAGACAGTTACGTTGCTGAACCACGAGCTGCAAACCAAGTCCAGGGAAGCAAATCATGACGACCATGAGGATGTGTTATTGAACAGTGCGAACTCGACACATCCACAGACGCCACCTCCAATTCCCCACACTTTGCTACCATCAAATTCCCGCGATATCCCATCTCCCGCCCACAGCAGCGCATCCGCACCAAGTCGAATATCTTTATCTCAAGGACTGCCTCAGCATTCCCTTCCTGCCTCACCATCCTCCATTGCCCACTATGATTACGAGACGGACAATCATGGGTTTCATGCGCCGATACCGGTGGAAGGTCATCGCGGCAACGCCTCCGCAACATCCTCCTCCTTTGAACTGACCCACTCGTCGTATCGAAAGCACGACGACGCGCATTCACCTTTTCACCAACTTTCCCCAACAACTTCCACATCCCCACCTGCGTCAACTCACAGGAGGCGACGGCGTCTAGACAGTCGCGACCACATACTCAGCACGACCACCGTGGACACGAGCATGGACTTGAGTTTTCCGTGGACATCGTCAAAGGCAATCGTGTCACCAAAGCCTCGACCTCGTTCTGCTGGGTCCAGTGCCCCGCTTGTTCCGCCGCGATCTCCGCATCGACAGCACCGCAATGTCCAAGTGTATTCCGTGCGTTCAGAGTCGCTCAGTCCACGGCCGCAGCCTCAACGACGCGTTTCAGCTCCCTCCGACTCGCATTCGAAGTGGCACCAGCCCGCATCCCTTCCCATCTCCAGCAGTTCCCGGCTCGACCAGGAGCTCAAGAATCTGCGAGCCAAGCTGCATGCCTGCTCGCGAAGTTCAGGCAGCTAAGTGCCCAGCAACAAAGGATTCAGTGGTTGCCACTCGACCTTGTACCCTCTCTTCTATGATCGCACGTGCCGCACTTCTCCCTTTGTCCTGGCATCATGTTCATAATTTGTCGGAGCGATCCGTCAATTATATTGCGCCACGTTCGACTACGCAATCTCGTAAGATGGAAGGTTATGGAAGGCATAGCCGCGCCAGCCCTGGTACGCGCCATAGAGCTGGAACGTTGCATAGCTGCCGGGGATGAAGGCTACGACTGCGATGACCACGGTGCCATGACAAGTTGACAGAGAGGAAAATGTACCTATAACGCCCAGGAACAAGTGCGACAGCCCACCGCCTTCGACTGCTGACGCCAACCCGAGAATTAGAAGCACCTAATGGATGGAATGAGGTCGAGGCGCCGCGATAGGTCCATACGATGCCAACGAGAAGCAGCAAAATCGCAGCGAAAGCTGTTCGCACGGGAATCTGCGAGTCCTGCACGGCGTCTTTAAGCCGCGTCCAATACGCTGTCACACTCGTCATCGGCTGCAGCTTGGAAAAACTAAACGTGCTGCGAGAAAACCCGGTGAAGCCGCCACTGCTGTTGCTGCTCGCGTTGTTGTTGTGTCGGGGAACGTCGTCCTTGAGGTCAATGTCGACAGTGGCTGCGTCGTCCGACTCGTCCTGGTCCTGAAACGATGGAGGTGAGACTTTCATCGAGCACAACACCGATGGCATTTCACGACCACACGACAACATCCTACCTTCGCTAGGGCACCTGCTTCAAGCACTTCACGTGGAGCCACGGCACTCATCATGTCGATCGACCTGAAAATAGATGATAAAGCTCGTTCCTCGGGCCACGGCAGCTTGCGAGCGGCGCCAGGTTTGTAGTGGCAAGTTCCAAAAATACCAACCAGTCACCTATTGCAAGGAGGATCAGGCTGCATGCACGATACACGGGCAAATGAGGCATGGGAAAATGCTTTAGCAGGAGGCGCTGACCCGTATCGCTCTCTAGTTGGCGCATGGTGTCGCCGCCGCCCGCGGTCGGCGTCCCTTCACATGATGGATCCTCTGTCGTCTTTGCAACACGAGCATTCCGGTTAAGAGTAAATTATCCGGAAAGAAAAGGTCACCCAAACCTTCCACAGTTTAGTTTTGCTCCAACAGTCACAAGATGGTGAAGGACGCGAGCAAGCAGCCGTTTATGGCGTCGGCCGACTTGGATCCGTGCACGTACGCCGTCTCGCCGGTAGGTCTCGCGATGTGGGAAGGTGCTTGCGTGATCTGACGTGTGACAGACGTCGAAAGGGGTGTCTCGCTGGCACCGCGCCAAGCAACGGTTTCCCATTCGAACTGGACTGGCTGCGATCGCTCTGTTTACATTGGGATCGGTACAATGCGCAGACATTGATTGCACCACAATTGTAAAGTTGTTGGCGAATAGATCTTGCTGTACGTGAGCACGCTGTTTGGCTTGGACGGCGAACGCAAGGGCCTCTCGTTTTTCATTCTTGGCCTCATCAGTACGTCCTGACAGCACGTGCCGAGTTGGCTCTGCTGAGCTGCAACAGCGTTTGATGTGATTCCACTCGCGTAGCTTTCATTCCTGGGAGCTATGCCACGACGCAACTCTACGGCGCGTACAAAGGCTGGCACGGCTACGACTATAGCCAGATTCCTTCGTACGACGACTAAGCACCGTCTCGTCGTCACAACTAGTCTCGGCGGTAACATCTCAATCATGCCGCCTTGCATCTACCGTCACGTCCCCCGCGCGCACTGCCAACGCGAAAGACACGATAGTAACCAAATAGATGTGCCATGCGTGTCTCCCTGCGTCGATCGCCCGAACGTGGTGTCCATGGCGGGGCTGCAACGTTTCACCTCCAACCTTTTTGCACGAGCAAGCGTTTTATGCCAAGCTATTCTTGGCATATATAGCAATCCCCGTGCGTGCGTGCCGGTGCATGGTCTCAGACATCGCAGCTACATCGCTCCCGAGTCTGCCTACCTCTCCGGCTCCGTCGTCGCGACGTAGCGGGCAACGTGCCATGAACAGCAGCAACAGTAGCCGAAGTAGCATCAGCAGCTACGACATGTCGTCGCTGCCAACGCCTCGCAGCTCTGGCGCCCCGTACGACGCGCATGATTCGCTTGACGACGACTCGTGCACAGCTCCCATGGCCAACAACGGCGAGTTCTACGATGAAGTCGAGTCGTTCTTGAGTCGACCAAGCCCCAGGTACGTGCCACACATGCATGGTTGGCATCGCCGTTTTTCACGCTGGCCTTCGTAGCCTCGGGAAAATCGCGAAAGGGTCCAAGTCCACGGAGAACCTTCTCCCCGTACTCAAGGCGGAGCGGTCCAAGCTGCGCGGAGCAGAGGGCCACCGCCCCGACTTGCCGATTTCTAGCAGTGGGTACGGTCGATCCGTGCCAGAAAAGGGCAAAAAGAAGGCCCCGGTGGACCTGTCGCTTGTACAGCAAGCGTTTGCCTACGCCAACGAGCTTCGGGTACACAGCGATGCTGCGCAGTAGAAATCCTGACCAAAGTGTCCGTCGGCATAGGCCCAAGAGCTCCAGGAGAACGACACGCTAGACGACGCGAGCGATGCAATCTCCAAGCACGTCGCCAGACACACGAAATTCACGGACCGACCAAGTCGAGACCATGTACAAAAACCACCTCAGAAGACCAAGCCGAGCAAGTCGAAGCCAACGCCCAAGACGACGTCGGCTATCTACGGGGTGCCCGAGAAGCCAACTGCGCCGCCCAAGGCAAAAGCTGGCCCGGATTGGGATAGCTGCAGCAAAGAGGTATCGACGGCGGGCCACAATGGCTCGAGCATGGACCCGCAACTGATGCAGCAACTCCTGAGCAACTTTCAAAACGGCACGACACTCAATGAACTGCGCCAGGAGCTGGCCGCGTCCCAAGCCAGTTTGAAAGAGTCCCGCCAAGTGCTGCAAGGCGCAGCCAAGACGTTCTTTCTGAAGGGGGCAGTGGCGCGTTAGTCTCTTGTGGAGGTTTTCTAGAGCAAAAAAGACATGCACGTACAATGTGACGGCATGCAAAGCAGACGAAAGGATATGGGCACGTCGACCGAGCCAGGCGGGGCATCGACAAGTGCTGGCCATTTTCCAGTGGCGCTGGTTTTGCAAGGGGGCGGTAGTCGAGCTGCTTGGCACAATGCTTCCCCTGCGCCATGAATGCATGGTGCTGCGCATGCTGCATCACACAAAAGCTACACTCATGGCCAGGTGTTGGTCCATCGAGGATGAGTACATGGAACGGTCGCTCGTTCGCCGAGTCGACACCGTATAGCCAGACAGGATGCAAGGCACATGGAGCAATTCAAGTCATTACTGTGGCACACTCGATGCTCCTTAGTTTTTGTCCAGCCCACGCAACGGCGCGGACGAGTTCTTTGGGGGCGCGTCGGGGTTGTTGTAGTCGATATGATCGAAGTCGTTGTTGTCGCGGTTGCGCATACGCAGGGGGTGGCGGGGCTGCAGATAGTAGCGATCAGGCTCGCCATTCTTCAACCACTGGTGGTTGTCGATGCCGTAAGCGCGCTGGCGATAGGTTGTTTGGTTTTCCGAGAATTCGCCGACAGGGCCGAGGTGGGTCGTGTATGGCGCGTCGCTCACGTTGGAGAGGGGAATCTTGACCCAGTTTTCGGGCTAAACACAACGAGTCCGTCATGAATTAGAAGTCGACGTGAGGACAGTCGCATGTGTTTGTTGTACCTGTTGGCCGGGTTCGTTTGGCTTGGCATCCGTGACTTGATGCATCCACAGGTGCCACTCGGGGGGGACCTGGTCGCCCCCGAATTCTTCGTGCGTCTGCACTTTGTATTCGGTCCAGCGCTGTTGGCCCGCAACGTCCGTCACGTCTTCGTAGTACTTGTTGCCGAAGCGGTCTTCACCGACTTCCTTGCCGAACTTGATATCACCAGGGTTGTACAGCTTCCAGAGACAGTTCCAGAAGCCATAGCGCTCGTACGCCTCCTTGTACTTGTGAGCAACAGAGATGAAATGACGCTTTTGCGCGGGGCCGGCCACCGCCGCCACCACACGCTTGGTGACCACTGCCTGCATCAATGTGCTTGCTTGTACGTTCCAAACCACTCACACTCGCCGCCGCCACTAGGCAGTTCTCTTATAACTAATAACTTAGAAAATATTGCAGGATGGTACGATGCATCTGAAAGAATCGAAAAAATTGTTTTTTCGTCTGATTGCATATTTTACAACTTCTTCAGGGATGGAAAAATGATTCTTTCCCTCCCATTTTCTCGAGTTTGATTGGGAAGAATATATTCTTGTCTACCATACATAGCAGAATTGAATGACGCGACCCAGCTTCAAGATCATATCATTGACGCGGTACGATGTGCATCCAGTTTAATTGAATATGTATGAAGTAGAGTTTGTAAGGAATGTCGAGCGACGGATCCATTTTTCGGTCCGATTTGTGCAGCAGGATATAAATCGTTTACGATTTTTGCAAAATGCGAGTATTTTTACAAGAAAGCAAGTCCGGATAGCATGGCAGTGTCCGGATATGAAACCCGCCGGAACCATCAATTTCGTTGCATTGTGGATTTGCGCCATTGATCATGCGCCATCGTCTTGCGTTCCGTCGCCTCGGCCGTCCCACCGGTCACCGCCTCGCGCTTCTGCGCAACCAAGTGACATCTCTCATTGAGCATGAACGTATTCAAACCACATTGCCCAAGGCGAAGGAACTCCGCCGCTTGGCGGACCAAGTGATTACGCTGGCAAAGAAAAACGACCTGCCCGCGCGCCGCGAAGCCGAAGGGATCGTCCGAACCAAGCCCATGTTCGACAAGCTGTTTGACGTGTTGGGCCCTCGTTATGAAGACCGAGCAGGGGGATACACTCGCATCTTGAAGAGTGGCTTCCGATACGGCGACAACGCTGAAATGGCCGTCATCGAGTATATCGACCGACCAGGCGAGTTGCGACGCCCTCGCCCCGGCACCGCGAAGAAGAGCGAATAGATCTGTTAAGGAATACTACATGCAAGCAAGAAGAAACCTCGCGTCTCTCGCCGCAGTCCGTCGATCTCTTTTGCACTGTGGTTCGGTCCATCGGACCTTGTGGCCAACAACGCCTGCACCTAACTCTACCAACACACGTGTACGGGTGACGAGGGTAGCGGTCTCTTTGACGTTGTGCACGATTGCCAAAACCCGAGCAGACTCGACCGTCGACTCGTTGAACGAAGTCGCTTTTCTCGCCACCTCCTTCGCCGCCGCTGTCTGCGGCTGAGTGACACGTGTGTGCCGAACACCTGCGATGTACACAGGACAAAGGCCAACATGTTCTGGACCCGAATAAAAGTGACCGGAGTCAGGGGCACTACTCTAGTGCGGCACCAACGATACGTACGACATGGACGGGGGAATGGGTTGCTGGCCGACAACGAAGTCGGGGGTAGCAACGACCAGAGTGGAAGTCCACTGCTGTGCGGAGACAAGTAGCGGCGCATTCTTTGAGCTTGTAATCCGGTCTATAGCTCCATCCTCCCGAGACTAACTGATAACTCATGTTACAATTCTTTCGACGATACCTGCGTTGGTTGCCCGGGGCGTTTGGGTAGCTGCGGCGGCCCAATCGTTCGCTGCCTCTTTACACCTGCGGACGAGGTAAGGCATGCGCTGACACTCGATGCGGCATGACGACTCACCACATGGAGTACGTCTTGCTTGGACGAGACGCTCGCTGATAAGAATCCGGTCGTGGACCATTTTCAGGACCAGTTGCGCCTGGAAGAGCAGCCGAGGTGACTCGCGCAAAATGATATGGCGCGACGCGTACCTTGGCAAGTCGTTTACTCAGGTCTCGCATGTGCAAAACGTTGGCTTTCCATTCGTCGACGGCCACAGCGCCTTCCATGGACCACTGATCCTCTGGGGCGTTTGCACCGACGGCATATTCCGTCACATCATCCGCATGCAAAGTGTAGGCCATGCGGTACGCATCAAACGCTGGAACGGTTGCACTATACCATTTGCCCAGGATTCGCTTGCACTGCCGACACAAGAGGTCGTGGTACGTGTTGCCGGCGTCTTCACCTCCGGCTGCGGCATGGATGGCCACGGTGCTGCGGATGATGTTCACGGCATACTTGAGGGTGACGGTTCTTCGGGCTTCGTTGACATGCATGAGATTCACAGAGTCTCCCACGATCAAACTGCACGTCTTGCACTGGAACGCGACGAGCACCTCCGCCATCCCATCCTCGTCCGACATGCCGCAACTTCGGGCAACCGGATATGCTTATCCGGAAACCCGTTGTGTGGAGAAAATGTTGGGATTTGAAACGGCGCGTGTTTACTTAGGAGAAGAACTTGAGCTTCTTCGCGGGCGAGTCCATCTCGTCCGGGCCCTTGGACTTGCGATTCTTCGGAGGCAGCCGGTGCTTCCACAGTGTGCAGTTGGCCAAGTACTTGGGGCACTTGTCGTGCCTGTTGGTACCGTTGCACTTTTCGTTGCCCGTCTTGTCGAATCCCTCGCACCACGTCCACTGAAAATGGTCGCAGCTCTTGATCTTGGGACCTTCATACGTCAGCGGTACCACGCGCACGAGCACTGGCGCGACGTCGTCCGTCACGTCCTACGCACACAAGAAACGAAGCGAGTAAGACAATGCAACTCGACTAGAGTTGTCCACAGTGCTCTACGCGTGCGATGACTGCCGTACCCGAGGAAATGCCGACACCACAACGGGGTTGCCATCGCCCGCTGTCACCACCGCAGCCGACTGCTTTCGCTTTAGCTCGGTGCAACGATTGCAGATTTGAAATGCATTTCGGAAGGCGTCCAACGTCAACGTGTCGGATTCCGACGGAAAAAGGGACTGTGGAAACGGCGTTGTCGTGGTTTCGTTCGGGGGAAAGAGAATGCTCAGGTTCATCGGGGACTCTTCCTTGATGCGATGCTTGGTCAGCATGTTCCTACGACGTGGAAGCGAGTCGTCAGAGTCGCACATCCATGCACGACCGTACAAGAGTTGGGGAAACTTGAGGCACTTGGTCGCGGGATCGCAGTACTGAAAGAAAATGCGCATGAGCTTTTGCTCGGCGATGTCTGGTGAATGGGTGAATCGTGGCAGGGCTTTTGGGGTTTTCGCTTTTGGACAACACAAGCGACTGGCTAGCACGTGTCCTGCGCCAATGCGATACGTCAGAGCAGGACGAAATGCGCAGGTACGTGAGCACCTTGATATGTTGGGGAGAGAAGCGCGTTCGCAGCGAGTCCAGTCGGAGGCGGCCGCGCGAACGGCGGCTGAGGTTTCACGGTGGCCTCTCGATGTGGAGGAGGGGCGAGCTGACTGAAGTACACAGGGGAGGTAAAATGAATGTTGGGGGTGCTGTGGGGGGCCAGAAGCTTTGTGTTTTGATATGTCACCGTCGCAGGCTGGAGGGGCTGGTAGTGTGGAATCGAAATCGGTGCTGGGATGTGAATGCTGAGGGGGGTGAACTTGGGCCCTTGGTCGACACAGGTGGTCGCGTCGTGTCCCTGGGGGTCGCTAGCCTGGTCGGCATACATGGCATTCAACATGTCGAGCATGTTGGGCATGTCCGAGAGAAGGCCACAGTCATCCTTCGAGTCGGTCACACCGTGCGATTGAATCGATTCAATCTCGACTTTGATCAACGTCGACGGAGCAGGACTGTCATCGTCGTCGTCGTCGTCGCCGTACAATGCGTCTTCGACGGCTTTGCTTGTATCGTTGGAGCCATGTCCGACTGCTGCTACTCTTGAAAACGGAGCGCTCGTGCACGCTTCGGCTGGTCGATCTTCGTCAGCTTTGCCCCAGTCCATGACGTCCAGGTCGTCCGCGAACGACATCATGGACACGTCTTTCGGCGGGTGTTGTTGTTGCTGCTGCTCGAGCTCGCAGATTTGATTCAACGTGTCGCACAGCATGTCAGCATCTTCGATCAGGACAGGGTCCATCGATTCTACTACGACCCCCATCGTTGCACACTCGACACCCTCGCGAGACTGTCGTACCTTTCGACCCGTCGACGTCGCCGCCAAACACTTCATTCATGTCGAGTAGCTCATGTGCTGACATCGCAATCGTCGAATGCCAAGCGCGCGACTGCGGCATGGGCGTTGCGCTATAAATAGCGCCTCCACGTGGTTTCATTGGCCACACGATACGTTGAGAGTTTGCTTGGGGGACATCACGCGCGCGAACGGTCGCAGTTGCCCCTCACACTCTCGGACGTCCACGTCCAACCGATGGACCATCGACGTCGAGTTCGAGGACGCAGAACGTAGTGGCAGCCCCATAGTCGTGAGGACGCATGCAATGGATCGGAATCCGACGAGATATTGCGCTTTTTACGAAAGCACTTTTCGGCGAGCGAGACACGATGCCCATGGCTGCGAGGAACAAGACATGTCGTCGTGATAACGTGTGCTCGTGAACTGTGTGCATCGACCCAGGTACCGCCTGCCCCTGCCCGTGGTACAAATCCCGCCAGCATCGTGGGCAGATTCAAAGGGGAGGTTGTAGTGTTGGTCGAAAACCTCCCACCTCCCCCTCGTCCAAGCAGAACTCAAGTCACTCAATGTTTGCTTCGAAGTCCCCCCACGCCCGCACGATCTTTCAAGGCGATGGTCCGACTGCGACGAGGTTGCGTTGCTGCTGCGGTGCTTGCACGGGGCCACTTGCAAAATTGAAATCTTCTCCTGTTACATGTTGGAGGCAGCCGTTTCATCAACGCGCCAGGTACCTAAGATATTTAATATTAAAGGTTATAGAGACTACGCATGATTTGTATGGGCATATATGTGGCTGCAAAGTTGGTACGCATTTATTGAAACAGTGAATCGAATTATAGAGGGATTTTGATCGTGAGTTGATCGGTTTCGCATTCAGGGTTTGCATGGCCCACAACTCGTTGACCGTCGGTTTGGAGATGGGAGCTCGTTGCTGCTGCGGACAGCGTCCTGAAGTCGGCAACCGTGACTTGCACGCTCAACTTCTCAAGGACGATCGTACCACGGTGGCCTCGACGATCAATTCTGTCTCCCCGCCTCATGGGGGCAAGGTATCAATTTCGCCGTCGATCACGGACACCGGCTACGACGGCGGCAATCGAGGAGACGGCCCTCTTTACGCGGTAGACGACACGACAGCAATGATCGAAGACGAAGATGACCCGTTTGCCTCCCCGCGGCACTTTGTGGATGAGAACGAACTGTCGTTCAAGAGCGGCACGAGCCACGACTATGACCACGGGAGCATGTCGTCCGTGAGCAGTTTGAACGGCGCGACGCCGGGAAAGGAAGGGGACTCGTATGAAGACAGCAGCGCTCGGTTCAAGTACAGTTCTCAAAAGTTTGACGAGTCGCCTTCGGGAGGCGGCCACCATGGATGGGACATATAGATGTGTGACGATAGAATGTTTAATGGCTTATAACACGGACTGTTGTTGGATGAAGAAGGATATCTGCCATGGGCATGGGCTGAGTCGCGTGCCATGTATGTTTAGAGCTCCCATGCTGCCTCGGCAGAAAACTGCCCCACGTATCGTGGCGGTGCATACGACTGGTCTTCGGAAAGGAGGGCAGCTTTGTGCAGGTTGAACGAGCTGTACTTTTTCCAGCTATCGTCTTCGACTTGTGGCAGGTTCTTCATACTGCAGTAGTTGGACTCAAAGTTGTGGAGCCGCGACCCGCAGCCACAGCAACTGAGTCGCTGCCCCATCGAGTACCTCCTTAATCGGCGCAACACACGATGCGTCGTTGTTACAAGATCCGCTTGACCGTTTCAGATCTTCGACCAAAATAGTGTGAATTTAATTAATGTATGCTTCATGACGATGGGGAATAGGGTGCACCGCCCTCGCTGCTCTCCTTTATTCGTCAAAACAATTGGACGCCATGACCGTTGATGGCACAACGACCACCAAGCATGTTTAAAGTTGCCACTGCGGTGCGTCATAACCTGTTGGGCTTGTAGTTGTCCAGGTCGTGAATGCGTGAAATACTGTGGAACACATAAATTGGTGTAAGTACTGCGGCCAATCCGAATCGCCCGATAAGGTCATTGGCAGTTTGGCTGCGCATCAGAAACGTCGTACGTACAATCAACGTACGTTCACTCGTTCACCATCGTACATGCAATAAAACCTTTTCATACAAAGATCTAGATAGGACTGATCGTCTCAAAAAATCGAAGGCGGAATGTACGCCGCCAACCCAGGCCGCTCTGCACTTGCTCATTTTGGTGGCATGGACAACTACCGGAAGGTGTCCAAGATCGGCGAAGGGACGTATGGAGTCGTGTACAAGGCCGTCGACTTGAACACTAACCGCACCGTCGCGCTCAAGAAGATCCGCTTGGAGTCGGAAGACGAAGGTGTGCCAAGCACGGCAATGCGTGAAATCGCGCTGCTCAAGGGATTGGCCCACCCCAACGTTGTGCATTTGTACAACGTCGTGCATCAAGCCGACAAACTGTATCTGGTACATCCGCGTGATGGGTTTCCTTTCTCTATATTTGCATCACGAAGGATGGTCTTGTCCAGGTCTTCGAATTCCTCGACCACGATCTCAAGCATTTTATGGATCTTCACGGCACGACGCTTGTCCCGTTTGTGCTCAAGCGATACGTGCAGCAAATGCTATTGTAATGCACCCTCCCCCCGCGTTCGCGACGCGAGCGAACATGAGGCCTCTCATCGAAATCTGGAATCGTAGGGGCATTGCGTACTGTCACTCGAACCGTGTCTTGCACAGGGATCTGAAGCCCCAGAATTTACTTCTTGACCTTCAAGGAAACTTAAAGCTGGCGGACTTTGGCCTCGCGCGCGCGTTTGGCATTCCCATGCGCAACTACACGCACGAAGTGGTCACGTTGTGGTATCGCGCGCCCGAGATCCTCCTCGGAGGATCGCATTATTCAACCGCGATCGACATCTGGAGTGTCGGGTGCATCTTTGCCGAGATGTTCAACCGAAAGCCGTTGTTCCCAGGTAGATCGATCGTGTCGAATCCTGACATGATTACATTTCGTTACGCCAACTCTGAACCCCCGCAGGCGATTCGGAAATCGACGAATTGTTCCGCATTTTTCGCGTGTTGGGCACCCCCGATGATCACATGTGGCCTGGCGTGAGCTCGTTGCCCGACTTCAAGACGTCTTTTCCAAAGTGGCAGCCGCAACCATGGCACGATGTTGTACCGTCGCTGGATGCGTGCGGAGTCGACTTGCTCATGGTACGATTACAAATCTCGCCTGGTCGGTGATCATGCCTACCTTGACGGCGGGTCTGTGGTGCGCAGAGGATGCTAGTCTACGAACCTCGGCAACGCATCTCGGCCAAGCAAGCGCTGAGCCACCCCTGGTTCGACGAACTCAATCCGCAGTGCCAACAACCGCAGCACTTGTATCCACACCACCAAGGCGGTGGCATGATGGCGCCTCCATATTAGGTACACTTGCACGACACTAACCCAAATAACATTATACGAAACAATCCGCGTTTTGCCATCCTGCGAAGGGCGACGTGGGGGCGACGACTCCGGCTAGCAAAGTGTGAAAGCCAGATAGGAGCTCCAAAAGAACTCCATCTTGTCGTGCGCAACGAGCGGCAGGGCACAACAACGCTTCGGAACTTAGAGCAAGTGCACTAGTTGGACGATGGCTACACTACGCTTGCAATTCTTTCATCCTGGAGCTGCGCAGGCCGAATCGAAGCCATGTTCGAATGGGGCTACCACCCAAGCATCCTCTCAGCACCACGTTTGACCTGAAGAGAATGTGAGCGTCTTTGGGTGTGGTGGCTGCATTTGTGACTCGACGATCGCAAGCATTGCCTTTATAGATGTGCACGTGCGTTGGGGTAACCCGCTTGAGTGATTGAAGTCCCAGTCCATACGCCGTCGAGCGTGATGGCTACGATGCACGTGGGTCGCTCGCTCTTCACATGTCAATCCATGATTCAAATCGACTTTTTCATAGTTAACGATGTGTATGGGTTCTAAATACTGTTGACGAGCATGTACACGACCATGGCGAGAACGCTGCCCACCATAACGAGGATGTGGGTGGTCTGCTGCTGATGGGGCCCAAGGTCGAGAGGACCAGGTTCGCTTGCGGTAGCACTTGCGACTTGTGATGTACTTGATGCTTCCTCGGCCAGCGGAATCGGCACCAGCAAGTGGTCCATGCGGTGGAGCTTGGCGTCGAGGTACGCCTGGTTGTGCTTCTGGCTAGGGACGAGAACGGGGATGCGGGCCGAGATATTGACGCCAAGCTCGGTCAGAAGCTGGATTTTCCGCGGGTTGTTGGTGCATAATTGTATCCTGGACAAGTTGAAGTGTTGCAAAATGTGGAGCACGGGCTCATACGATCGGTAGTCATCTTCAAAGCCGAGCACGCGGTTGGCGTCGACCGTGTCAGCGCCTTGATCTTGCAGGTGGTACGCATGTACCTTATTCGACAATCCAATTCCTCGGCCTTCCTGCGGCATGTAGATCAGCATACCTCGACCTTGGGCGACCATCATCGCTTTGGCATGCTCAAACTGCTCCTTGCAGTCGCAACGTAGAGATCCAAACACTTCAGACGTCACGCACTGGTCATGCACACGGACATACATGTCATCTTCGATGTCTCCGTACACAAGCGCGATCGGTTCACTTGATCGACGACAGCCTTGCGACCGAAACGCGTGCATTCGCCACACGCTCGTGTTGGTCGGAAGCGCCGCCGCCGACACAAACGTAGTCGAGACCCCGCAACCCAAGCCAGTCAATCCTGCTTTGTCGAGATCGCAGCACTTCATCGGCGCAATGCACGTCGGCGCTGGGATGTTCAGCGAGGTAGTCAAGGTCATCGTCGGCCCCAAGTGGAATTGCTTGCGAAACGTGGTCTGGGGCGAATCGTGTGTTGTGTCCGTGGGCGTTTTTTATTGGTCGTGGCATGGGCAGTATACAAATTTCAAGGGGCTCTCGGAAGTACGCCAGTGAATACCGTACTTACTGGTCACACCCAAAATAAAAATATATGGTCGAGTCAACATGCCTTCTATTTTTTAAAACGCAGGAAATGCATGTCTCTGTAACGTTGTGGAGGAGTGCGAATGAAGCATAGCCACGGTAGAATGCACTCGCGGCAGCTTTCCATCGTGCATGGAAACAAGTTCTGTACGGGTAGACATTGGCCGCACCGTCGTGTGGCGACCTGCACAGGACCATTCCGTGCACATGCCGAACGACGTCGTGCACCGACGGGGCGCTGATGGTGTTCCAAACTTGGATCGTACTTAATTGGGACAAAACATGGAGCCGTGAGCTTCTACGTTTACAGAGGTTGGACAGCGCTGACCACGTGCGCTTTCGTGGTGTGGCTTGGACGCATCGGGGCGTCGATACCATGCGCGCAAGGGTCATTATAGGCGCACTCGTTCTACCTCCACGAGGAATACGACACAACCGCTCTGTGTCGACGCGCAGAGGTGAATTCCCGCGAATCGAACAATGTTCACACATGTCTCTGATTGGATGCGACATGGAGCAGAATGTTGGCGCATCGTTCAGTGGCTTTCCGGACATGGACTTGTTTTTTTCCGGAAATGACACATGCGCACACTAAATTTTATTGCTCCATTTTACTTCTTCCACTTGGTCGCGAAACGACGTGGAAAATGGCTTCGCTTGGCAGACTCTTGGCGTGCTTGGCTCTCACGTGCGCGTATGTTGAGAGCGCGGAGATTAATTCATGCGCTGCGTACCCGCAGTGCGCTACAGCAGGGCCAAACAACACGGCGTTGTGGTGCTGCGCTGACGCGAAAGGTTGCTGCCCTGGATTCGACTGCTGTGGGCCAGTTGAGTCCAACACGTCCACGACGGTCTCTCCTTCGACTACCACAAGAATCTCGACAACTCCTATCCCCAGTTTGTCCAGCAATAACGCCCCTACCACGACTACTGCAACGGAGGCCACCACTCCAGCAACTTCCCAAGCCAACTTCGCCACGTCCTCTGCGCTCGTGTCGTCGGCTTTGCTTGTGGGTGCTCTCCTGGGTTCAATTACCTGAGTTCAATGCATTCATCATATTTTGTGTCAAATCGTTGTGACTTTTCCACACTAGCGCCCCACATCCCGGCCTGCAGACTGTACAGGTAGTCAACGATTGCGTGCCTCAACACAACTCTAGAAGACTCAAAAATCGTGAGCTCAAGCTGAGTGTTCGCCACCACATTTGGCTATTCAGATTTTCAAAAGGTGGTAGGGGGCTGCATCTCGAGCGCAGCGTGGTGTTCGTAGCCTGGTGGAGGCCAGTGAGGACATCCAGAAAATGTGCAGCACGTTCGTGTTGCATTTGGGTGCGATGTGGGTACATGTAGCCCAAGTTGAAAATTCACGGCTACAAAGGACTCCATTTTGGACATACACGCCGATCCTCCAGTTCCAACTCAATCACCGCGCCACCCAGAATCCTCCCACGCGGGCAACCCACTAAATCCCTCGAGCGTCGCCTCTCTCGCAGCGCATGGCCATTTCATCACGTACTCTCCTTGTCGCAGCACGGGCTGTGGTGTCGCAGTTTACGTAAAACAGAAAAAATTGTGCTGAGCCAATCAAACGCCACGACGAATCACAATACAATATCTTCCCGAAATATCTCGCCAAGCAATATAGACTCAACTGCAGATTTCTACGTTAAGAGTTCCGTCACTTTGAACCGCATACAACCGCCACAACTTTGCAAGCGATAAATGGATTGCATCGAGTTGGAATGGACTTGACAATCCATTCTTACATGAATTAGATGGTCGAACGTCCAGTTTCCTTTCATGGGTTGCATGTCGCTGAGGGAAATAATTTGACAACTATTTTGAGCCGTGCTCAGGCATATATCAACCCTGCGCAAGACGCCGGATGAAAATGGAAGGAAATTGTTGGCCAATCAGGTTTCTTTGCTTTTTCAACACACGGCGGCGCACCACACCAAATTTGGTGAGTTGGCCGTCAAGGATGAGCAACTCGTCAAGCGCCACCATCGAGACGTACTGCGCTGCCACACCAAGATGCGCGACGGCAGGACCGGGAGATGCACCGCTCAGCTGCTGCTACTTCAGTGCTGGTTGCTGTCCAAACGTTGGCGGAACTCGACTCGATTGTTGCAACCCTGCTCCTCAGCTCGTTGTGGCACCGCTCCCGACACAAGATGTCGAGGCCACCAACACGTCGGACTCGTCACCTACGATTTGGATCGTCCTAGCTGTGATAGGGCTCATGATATTTATCATCGCGCCGTGGAAGATCTGGAGGGGGTTTGCCTTGCGAAGCCGTCGCGTCCACACCATCACCCCAGCCAATGGGTACCACCTACCTGCATCATAGAGGAGGGTAGGCACACAGTCAGAAATTATTTGGGCGTCGAGAAAGCTCGCTATATGCAACGTCGGCACGGTCGAGGTACCCTCCCACATGACCTTGTCCTCACTTGGAATTATCACCATGTTCCTGAGAGAACTTCCAAGAGTCCCGTAGCCAATCTGGGAAAAAATTTGACATAATGGATGGGGCAAGCGTTCAGCCCCGGAGCTTTCGACGGTCTCTCTGTGCAGCCCTTGCCCCCAGTGTGATGCAGTGGTCACTGCCTCGACCTCGAGCACACGACAACAATGGAATGGCATCGTGACCCAGCACCAATTGATTGCAAAAGCAACTGCCTGTACGCTAAAACTTTGTGGGATATGCAGGGGCAGTGGGTTGACCCTGCTGCGGCCCTAGAGCGAACGCTGGGTTCGCGACTGGGTAGGTCGGAGCCGACCGACCTAGAATGCCCTGGTCGTTCATCGAAGGTTGTGCGTGCGAATTCGTCGCTAGCTGTTGGTACGGAGCACTGCTCAGAGACTGCGTCAGGGGCGTGTAGCTGGACGTCCCCGAGTACGACGCCGATGGTTGGTGCTGACCCGCATAATAAGCGTACGGTGCAGTTGGGGGTTGCGGAGGTGGCTGAGTTGGGCCGGCGGGAGCACCAGTTGAAGGGTAGAAATGGCTGGCGTTGTCTTGGCCTCCGTGGTAATACACAGGTTGGTGCTGAGGCTGCAACGCGATCGTAGCCGCGGATTTGTTGGCTTTACGCTTGCAGCAGCATCGCTTGCAACACTGCACAATCACAACCACGAGCAACAAAATCACCACAAGGCCGACGTGATCGCTTCGAGAGTGGCGCGAGATATCGCCAATGCCCACTTCATGACGTGGAATGTCCTCTGTTGATGTCCTGGTCTTGTGGTGCGCCGCAGCGTCGACGAGCTTGAAATCCCCCGACGCGATGGGAGGCTCGGGCCTCGAGACGTACACTGACGCGGTCCCGAGCCGTGACACCACCAGCTCCTTTGTCGCAGTCACGTAGATATCTCCACTCGACACGGCCAACACTTTGGTCGTTTCGCACGCGATAGCGCTTGTGTCAGCATGCCCCGAGCCGAGAACCGACAACTTGTGGTGGCCGCATGCGCCGTGCGATTGGTACACCACGCCACCCGACCCTATGACGCACGATAAGATTGGGTCGTCCACTTGGACCCAACACACCTAGAACATTGGTCGTGATGTCCTGAGGCACCGTCAAGTTGGCCGACGATAGCGAGATGTCTCCTGACCCGAGCACGTTGACCTCGACCGAGTTGGCCGAGAGGGATGTCTCCGCGACGAGCGTGACGTCGCCGGCGCTTGTGGTTTGCACGTTGAGCGAGGTCGCGATCGCCAGCGCCGGAACAACCCACTGAATATCTCCAGACCCGACGGCCACCAACGAGACCGAGGAGACGGCCAGGTCCGAGTCCTGAAGGAACATGTCGCCGTCGCTGAGGGCCGTCACGATAACATGGGCGTCCGTCGCGTTGGCGAGAACACGGGGATTCACGGTTAAGGTGTCGCTTCCACCAAACGCCACCGATCGAATCGTTTGGGTCGGGACGAACACGTCGATGAGGAACTCCATCTCGTCGTAGTCAACGTCATCGCCGCCGTCGTCAAAGTCGAGATTCGAGGCAATCGTCAAACTGCCCTCGCCGTCGGTGACCTCTTCCGAGAACGATAGCGTGTCCAGGATGCGCTGCGACGTCGACGTGACTGATGCCCACACCGCCGTCGCGTTCGCGTCCTCGCTCACAAAGGTGCGGGCGCTGTGGAGGGAGAGCTTCCGGATGTTGGTCAGCGTCGCCTGGAACGCCTTGAAGACTACAGGCGGGGCTTTTTCATGGCGGTGGCTCAATGCAACCATGAGACGGCTCTGTTGGTGGCCTGAACGATGGCTGGTTGCCTTGACGGTGGATTCTCTTGTGGCATGTGCTTCGCATCGTGACCATGACCTGATAAGGCAACAGGAAATGAACTGCACGCGGTACACCAGGAGATGATACATGCTATATTAATATGATTAAAACTCTTTTCATAAAAATATCCAAACATCCACCGTGTCCATTGCTTAATGTTGTAATTGCAACGAGGTGTATTAAAACATCATGGCGATGACGTTTTCCGTCGTCGTCTTGTTGCTTCTCCCGAGATTTAACCTTGGTTTTTGTATTAGTTGGATTCCGTTCGCCAACCCTTGAGGCAGCGGCAGACAAGTCGAGTCGGGTTCGTGCGTTAAAAACGCGGCGAACAGCACGGCGATTCCCTCTTTGTCTCCTCAGGTACATGCACCATGGAGTGCTGCGCTGACCGCGGCGGAATCGCACTGTTCTCGGGGTGGACACCTTCCAGCATGCATTCCTTAACATTCACTCTGTACTCAGACGGGAGTGTATGTCCATTCATCCATCTACGCCGTCGAAGTCGCCGCCGCAGAGCGGAGGCGAACTGCGAACCGACGCGCCTAGCTGCATGGCGGCACACGTTATGCATGAAAGATGCGCGGAAGATAGTATGGACGATCCCATTCAGAAGGTCACCGCGTCGATTGCGTTCGTTCTTGCGTGCACTGCTCTGCCGCGCAGAGATGGTGCACATTGTTCTTCGTTGGTCCAGCCTCCACCACAGCGGAGAAAGGTGTG